CTTACGGTATTTTAAAGGCTCTCATAACCTGAACAACTTTCCTCACATGTCTTTGCCTCTTTTGTGTTCTTCTTGTCGCCATGGACGACCTCTCGTTAGAGAGAATCGAGATTTCAGATCCACCACTGGCGTCGTTGATTGAACATGTTTCCTCCACTCCTGGTTACGTTGATGGCTTGATATTCGGCCAAATCCACAACAAACTTTCCTTATAATCAGTTTCTCATGTTTGAAATGAGAGAGACGATTGGGATTTGATCGAGATTGCGATTGAGTTACAAATTAGGAGAGAGAAAGAGATGGACAAATATTGAGATTGAATTTGAGAGAGGAAGTGAGACCAAAGATTGGGATTGAATTTGAGAGACGAAGGAGCTAAAACCAGAGAGTGATTTTTCAATTTGTCGACAAATTAAGATGACGTGGTTTCCTTCTTCTGCTGACTGGTATTATTTAAAATATTTCTATTGCTATTTGTTTTAACTGATGTGTCACTCTCAAGAAACTTAAAAAATCATAGTTGTCAACACCTGGAGAGGCACATGGATTTTTGCTGTGTTGATGTGCAACCAATCAATCTACAATCAATCATATAGATGATTATGAATCGTTAAATATGAAAAACTATCTAAGCTGAGAACCAAACGTTGATAGAATAATATCACGTTAAAGATGAAGATGAACAGTTTTTGATTTGACTTTTTTAATAAAAATATAAAAATATAGTTTTCCAACTTCCTAGGATTATGGTAGTGTAATTCGGAATGAAAAAGACTGGCAAAACTTTTTTGATATCTTTGAGCTCCATTAGAATCACACCAAACACCTCATTTAAGCCTCAAAAATTTGTTGATATTTCGAAGACTCCAATAGAACCACACAACACGGCAGGATTGAATGGCTAGTTGTGGAAGTCATAGAACTTAAACCATCCACGTTGAATCTTGTCAAGAAGAATCGTAACAATCAAAATCACTAAGAAGATCAATACTCACACACAAAGCTTCATTGTGAATCATTAAGCAGACTGTCTATATATAAGGTACTCTCCAAACGATCAGCATCCCATTTCTATTTGGAGTCACAGTCGTATAAAAGGTCCAATATATATAAATGAGTTGCATAATATTCAACAAAGGCCGAAGACACAAATACACAATATTTTTGCTTATATATTTGTAGTCTATACACAATAGTTTACACAACAAAGTAGAAAGAGAATTCTACCAGAAATATAGAAGCTTCATATGATCCAGCAAAACACCAATGTGTAGTAGACAATATACTCCTTGGTTTATGTTATGTTATTCTTTCAGCTATCGGTTTTGGGGAGCTTTGCCTCTGGAGATTATGGTTCTTGGCATTAATTTATTGGATTCTTCTGTTGCAAGCTCCTTTGAATTAGCAGCTCTTTTGTTTCCTTGTTCGGATTTGGCTGTGGATTATATTGTTGAGGCCATCATTTGCAGGTATTTGCCTTGTTTTTCTATCCGCAGTTTCAGTTTCGCTCGAAACTCATAATCCGATTTAGAATCACTTTCACTGTTTCCACTATTTGCAGCTTCATGAATCATATGAAGACGCAGAGCCTCTAGTAATACATATATATAGTCAAGCGACAAAAACACACAAACACACAAAACCCATGAAAATCCATGAAACATATGAATATTTAGACACTGAACATAAGAGACACAAACACACAAAACCCATGAAACGTATGAATATTTAAGCACTGAACATAAGAGACACAACACACAAAACCCATTCGAATAAAATTAGATACGAATAGAGATTTAAAACTCACCAGTGGAGACGAAGACGGCAACATAGTTTTGTGGTTGCGGTGAAGACAAAGGTTTCACGTCAACAGCAAAATCATCTCCGATGTCAAGAGATGAATCATCCTTAAACCCTTGGAAATCAGCCTCAAATTCATAGTCCAGATCAAAGAAATCAGAGTTATAGCACCTCCACACACCAATTCACCTTTCCCTTTATTCCCTTTTATATCAAATAACAACTTGCTTCCGATCCCAATAACATATGTGTTGTGCTCTGTCTTAATTAAACATGTTACCATTACAACTCGTGAACAGATTCATGGTTCTTCAACGGATGTTTTACAACAACCATCACGTAGCACCCACAAAAGTTATCCATATAATCGTGGAGTCCACACGAACCTCTCGAGGAAGAACTTATCTTCCACAGTGCTAAGTCATGCTTAAAAGCATCGTCTCCAAACACATTCAAACCAAAAACACAATATGTAGACGATTGCTCAGACCAAGTTCATCAATCCAAAAAGTCCAGCAAAGCCATGACCAAATCGCGGTAACATAATGGACCGTATCATTACCTCTTTAAACCCAAAAACTCATCTTTATTCAATCGAGATGGCAAAGCTAGTGTTTTCTTAATAAGAAATTTTATAGCCAAATTTTTTATATTAATAGGGTTTAGCGATTAGGGTTTCAATAGAATTATGAAAAGTCTTTTTGTAATTTTTAATTGATGGTAATATAAAGATTATTCATTATTAATAATATTTAAGTTTCATTAAAGGCAACTCAAATAATATTAAATTCTATAAATTTTTGGCTTTTATACACAAACCGAATAATTTTAGAAAAGGAAATTTTGCATATTTATTCAAGATTTTCATTAAGGGTAGTTATGTAATTTCACGGCTGAGATTGAATGTGGTGGCTCCATTCGAAATTTTGACTTCACAAATAATATATTAGATTGTAAATAATTTTTTTGGCAACTCTATTCTTATTATGTATAAATTAATTGCGTATTCCTAAATAACAATATTTTATATAATTTTATTTACTAAGACAATTGTTTCAATTATATTTATTAAGTATTTCAGTTATATTAATCATTGTAGTATTTACATTGATTCATTTTTTTTTTGATAAAGCATTTACATTGATTCATTATAACTATTTTTCTCCAGTTATTCAATGTTTATAGTCGAAAGTTTTCCTGTAACAAAAAACAAATGCCTTGTTCTATTAGAAACACTAGCTTTACTCTACCTTAGCTTGTCGTATGACAGCGGAGCGGGCATGCGAACTAAGCTCACGATATGATTATAGCCCTAACATCTTGTGTAGGCTTGCCATTGGTTTACTATATATGAATGATAAAATGATGAAATAAGATGTATTACGTATACAGTTTTTATTCTAAAATTGACAATCTTATTTATTATTCATAGGTATGTACTATATACAGTTCATTTGTTTACGGCCTTACAGTTACTCTTATATAGCCTTAGTTGTTTAATTTGTGTTGGGTCTAATGTCGTTTCTTTTATATTTCAAGCCTGTGAATTACCAAAAGTGCAGTCAACCTCCTCAATTTTGATAAGAGACATAAAAAAAGAGGCAGCTATTACTTATCAAACATTATGGCTTTAACTCGTGAACACCTAGGGAACAAAAGGAATAATTAGGAATAGTAGAACAATAAAGAACAAATTATAAGTAATATTTTTTCATTTTGTTCTTTTACAAATTTGGGGTGGAAAATATCTATACTATAATTTCTCATAACAAATTATAAGGAATAGTTTTTCATTTCGTTCTTTTACAAATTTGGGGTGAAAAATATATATATTATAGTTTCTCATAACATAAGGAATAAAGATAAATTATGTGGGTCTCATAAAAATCAATATTCCTTCCAAATAATAAAAAAAATTAGGAATGAAGAGGAATGTCATATTCCATCTCATTCCATTTTAGGAATGAAGAGGAATGTCATATTCCATCTCATTCCATTTTAGGAATGAAGAGAAATATCAAGATAATTCCCGTTCATTCCCTAAAAATTACACCCATTTATAAGGAATGTGTATTCCATATTATTTCTTTCCATTCCATATTAATTAGGGAATTATAATGTAAAAATATTCCTTATAAAATATGAGGAGGAATGAGTTCCATATATTTTATTCCTCTTCATTACATTCCTTCTCATTCCTTTTCTTCCTTTACATGTCACCAGTTAAAGCCGATCATGTTCCATCTCATTCCATTTCTTAATTGTGCTCACCAGACCCTATATTCTCACAGCTAAAATTTATGACCAATTTTTGTGGAATGTGTACGGATGCACCCAAACTTCTTAAAGTTTTTTGTTGTTGACTGGAACTTTTCTTTCACTAATTTTGTTTGAACATTTTTCCTTGAGTAATTGAGAAAGCATGATAAGAATTATTTGAAAATAGTAATCTATTCAATGCCAACAAAATATATTATATAACCAAAGTGATTGACTGCTATATCAAATGAATTGTGGAGTTATGTGTTTTAGTTAGGACCAGCATTTCGTGGATTGTACACAAGTTGTTAGGGCTATAATCATATCGTGAGCTCAGTTCGCACGCCGGCTCCGCTGTCATAAGACAAGGAGTTAAAGATAGTGTTTATAGGATCACGATCTTTGACGGAGTAGCATACTTTTGGAGTTGCAAAAATAGTTTAGTCTGAACAACATTCAACACGCTTAAGAAAAATGATGGAATAAAACACATATATGTGAGCTGAACAAATATTAGCTCAATGATCATATAACAATAACATGTGAATTACAAATAAAATTGTTTTTCAAAATAGAAATAATATGAAAATATGATAAACATGAGTAATGCATATAGTAGAAGAATCACATTTTTAAAGTGGTACATCGTGTATATAGATATCAATCAGAAAAATAAGGATATATACATGAAAGAAACCCTATAGCACTCTTCTGAGCCATCAAACCAAAGCAAACCAATGGCTGCCATTAAATCCGTCAAAGAAACCGAGCATTAAACTTCTTCATCCTCATCATCATCTTAGCTGAGAGGACTAAACTTTCTGCTATAAGAAAACACCAAGACAAACCAGAATTTAAATCGGTTAATGTAAACCGGAAACCGCAGATTTTTCATTTTTCGTTGTCATCTTCGTTCTTCAGTCATGTTGTAATGCGGGTTCCTAAACAGAAGTTGCAGTGGTTAAATCGTTGGTGCTGGTTTCCAAGAGATCCAAAAGAGTAATCCTTCCACTATTGGTTCGATCAAGCTTGTCAAACTGGTTAGCAATCGGATTAATGTCCTTATCGAATATTTTCTCCATCTTCTTTAGCTTGTATACCACAAACTCTGCTTTACTGCCAAAATAAAGAAATAAAGCCTATCAGAAGATTTGATGATGCCAATAACACCAAGAAGATCATTGGACTAAAGATCATGATATTAGTCAAAGATGTTCAAGGGCATCTCAGATAACTAATCAAGAACTTAAGCAAAACATAATCTTTGAATATGATCAAGGTTCCTTAGAGTGCAAGAAAACAGATTCAAGAATCTCATAAACTTTGTGATTTCAAGAATGAAACTTTGGTACTAACAATATCAAAGAACAAAAAATTTCAATGTCAATCTTGCGGATCAACAGCAAAACCATATTGATTAGAAAAAAGACAAAGCGAGTGAGTACCTAACACAGCCATTGTGGTCGATATCGGCAGCAAAGAACTGAGAGATAGACATGTTTTCACCAAGAACTCTCTTAGCCCTCTCTCTATTCCTCTTATCAACTCTCGCTTCAGCCAAATACAGAAACGCTCGAGCAACGGCCAAAGTAGACACGAGCAACCACACCGCAGCAAGAAGCCTACCGGTCAACGTCTTAACTGCCCGGTCTCCATACCCGACCGTGGTAACCGACATAACCGATAAATAAAACGAATCCAACCAATCGATTTCCTCAATGAAATGCATAATCAAAACTCCAAACCCAACGCACAACAAGACAACACCCAACGCCAATCCAACTTTCAACCTAATCCTCATCCTCCCTTTCTTCACATCGATTATATAAGACCTCTTCCTCTCCGGCTCGTCAAAGCTATCGTTCCTCGCAGCTTCCAACAGATAGTTTTCTTGAAGATCAAGAACGTGAGAAACCATCCCGCTAAGCAATATATCAATGAAACCGAACCCAACGAGCACAAACATAACCGAAAACATCTTCGTGACGGTGCTGTCCGGAGTGATGTCTCCGTAACCGATTGTACACATTGTGACGATACAAAAGTATAAACCATCAACAACGGGATGTGTGTGTTTGGCTACGTAGCTATGTCGATTCAGGTAGAAGAAAAGCACACCTAACGTGAGGTACACGATAAGCAGAGCAACGGCTTGCTTTACGATCGGTTTTGAATCTGATCGCTCTGTTTTCTCATCGAGCGGGTGAGTTAGATTGTTGATTGCAGCCATGGCGGGAGCTGTTTTGGACCGGTGGTATCCACGACGGGCGGATTTGAGTTTTCCGGTGGGTAAATTGAGTTCCGGAGGTGTGAGGAAGGGGAGGTCTTGGGTTGAGGAATCGGAGAAGGAGGTTGTGGCGGAGGATGACGGCGAAGGGTTTTGAGAGAGAGAGTCGATGAGAAGAGATGTGTCTCGTTGAGAGCGAGGGAACGGACCGAAGATTAGTCGGTTTTTGAATTCCGATGGTGTCATTGGCATCGGAATCGTGACGTCGTCGTGCTCCGGTAAGGGAAACAGAGGCGGGGGTGGGTTTACTCTGGGACTCATCAAGTATTGGAGTAAAGGGTCTTTGTCGTTTCCGCCATTTCCATCGTTCTCCATTTGGGTTTTCGCCGGGAAACCGGAAAACTGGAGCGAAACAAAAATAACAGAAACCAGAGTGGTTTTCCGATGATTGTGAGTGGATAAAGGAAGAAACTTTCTTCCAAAAGCCACACCAAAGATCGAACCTTTTTTTGGGTTTTGATGGCTTCTAGACTCTTAGAGTATGATCATTCAAACTAAATAAGACGAAAGTTTTACAAAGATAAGATATTGAATAACGGATTATTTCTTACTAATGATGATGATAGATTGACACGATATTTGTATAGTTGTTGTATATTTTTGTTACAACTTTTGTTATTTAATTTAGATGATTACTTGAATATTTTTATATTTTTGCCTTTGGTTTATGTACTTTATAGTTAACTTGTAACTATTGCACCAACGAACCCTGCTTTTTTAATAAATTATAGATTTGCACCATAAATTCATGCTCTTAAGGGAAAAATGTTTATAAATCATTCGTAAAAAAGGAAAAATTACAAAATTAGTAAACTAAGAACAGCATTGTATCCTCTTGCTTGAGGTCAATACACAAGAATGTAAATTTTCTAAATATATTTAAAATTGCTAGTGTCTTGTGCTGGGTGAGATTAGTCATATTGGAAATAAGGAGGGTGAAAACCTATAGAGTATAGACTTTGGAAACACTTACCAATTAGCGCATAAAATAAATTGAAAGGGTCAATGGCACCGTCTCTTTCTAGCTGAATGACAAACGGCAGGCAGGACGTGTCCTTTTCGCCGTTTCTTTTTAATGAATTTAAAATCTTTTTGTTTTTGACACCTTTGGATTTTGAGAAACTATCAACCCAAAGGAATGTTTCCATTGAAATTTTCATGGCATAGATAGACAAGTATGCAAGAAAATGGTTGAATATACTCTAATGGCATATATCGAAATAAATAAGTTTGTAAGATGGCTATTTATGATAGATTCACATAAGGATAGATCTTGATAAGGATAGATCTTGGTATAATAGTTAATTATCCATTAATAATTATCTTTGTAATTGTCTTTTTAGACATTATAAAAAAAAATAAAAAAAAATAAAAAAAGAACATAACATGTGAACAAACATTGTTAGCCAAAACCCAAATATCATATTCTTAAACAAATATTGTTTTTACCGACAACTATTGTTATTGATATCTTTACTTGTCGTTTTGGTAACACGTGTGAGAACAACAAATTATAGCTATAAATTGGTGTAAGAAATCCGAAGGTGTCAAAAATATGTACACGATCGTGATATCAATCATGTAGAGCTCACATTCTCACGTTTTGATGTGGAGGCAGCTGTCTCTAATCAAAAAACGTACCCTTGTGAGTTTTAAAGGAATGAATTCAGATTTTTAAATAACTATATATAGCTAGTATTATTCAATTGGGTTCTTTACAAACTCTTATATTTTATAACTATATTTTTACTTGTAGCTACTCTTGTAAAACCTTAAAATCACATCGGTAATTCAATGAGGTTTGTTCAACGCTAAGGCATTAGCTATAATACTACACAAAAAAGGGGCTAATACAAAGCAAAAGCCATGATAGTTTTGATTGGTTGACTTTGATTAGTAGCTGTCTCTTCGCCATATTTGTTGTTGAGTTTAGTTAGATAGGTCAATTGTACCGTTATTTTGCTGGCTCAGAGATGTATAGTCAGGCTGCTGTTCTTGTTGGGTTTGGTTAGATGGGTCACTTCTTCGTTGGTTGAGAGATGAATTGTAAGTCTGCTGTTCTTGTTGAGGTCTGAAACTCGGTGACTGACTCGGGAATAAGCTATAAGTATCTTCTTCTCCATGCACACGCCACATATTTGAACTTTCCATCTGAAATCAAATCACAGGAAAGAAAGAAACAAGCGTTACGTACGCTAAGTCATGAGTTAGGGTATAATAAATATATATACCAAACCGAAATCTCAAATGCTTAACACCCTATAAGAGAGATTTGATATCCGAGTTTTACCTGATGCTGAATTGATGGCAAGTGATTGCTTATACCATCAATTGAGTTTGGAGAATTATCACTCGACGTGACAAAACCGTTAGCAGCGACAGGTGATTATTGATGGGCTCCTCCTCTTTAATCGATGCTTCTTGCTCATCAATCATCATTCGTTATAGGGACTTGCTGTAAACTGGTGACAACAGACGTCGAAGGATCTTTATCTGACATAAGAACAAATGGAACATGAATCAACACTATGATCAGAGAACAAAAAAAGAAGAGAAAAAAGATCTCACTTTGTTTGTTCTCAAAAGAATGTCTTTGCACTTGGTAAGTCTCATCGTTTTTGTTGCCTTGTTCGTCACGCAACAACCTTGATCCTCCATAATCTTCATTATGCAAGTTTTGGTTTGATACCAAATCAGACTGATCTCCAGGTGGATCTCTTCCAGAAGCAGATTCAAAAGATGGCTTAGAGAGAAAAGGAAAATCGTCATCACGCAAGTTTTGGTTGGATATGAAGCAGAGTCAGTAAAATGAGTTAGAGAAAAGATCAGAAACATCCTTGTAAGGAGCTACAGTTACATTATGTTTAGATAAACCTATATATAGCTCTCTTCACTTTATCAGTCATTGTTCTCTACCCTGAGATACCACCATCCCAAGCAGATACCAACCTAGAAGGAGCTGCTTTATGCAAGCTGATTGGCACGTTCTTAGTTTCACCATTAATTAGATCACTGCAAAGACAAGGATAACGTGGCATTTGTTAGTTTTACCATTTGTTACAAGCTAGTTAATGACGACATGGAAAAGAACCTTTTATTATATGGACCAAGGGTGCTAAAAGTAGTAGATGAAACAGATAACGAAGGAGCAGCTTCACCGGAGCTTACTGGAACGTTCTTAGTTTCACAATCACTGCAAAGACAATCGGGTAACCGAAAAAGCCCGAGAGACGGTTTAGGCCAATCAATACACAACAACGGAGTTAAAACCACATAACGTCTATGGGATGAATTGGTATAATTGTACTCTACTATTTCATTTGTTGTATCAAATTGATATCTGTTTGCCTATTATTTTTCCTTAAATGCTTGGCAGAGGGACGAAGCTGGAGGGAACGAGCCTGATATGCTTAAACTCATTGAACTCATGCACACAAATAAAAAGACAGGTGTAAAGGACAAGAAGGTGGTACAGATTACTGAGACAGTTAGGTCTCAGGTAAACCAGATTGCTTCTCAACGGCAGACTCAAGGAGAAGGCCCCATGACACAAGCGGAGATTAATGCTGTTGTTGTTAGAGTAAGTTAATTTTCCTCAATGTTTGACTCAAATCATTAAGTTTCCAATTAATATATATTATCTTACTTTTGTTTATACATTGTTAGGTAATCTCAGCAATCTATGATAAATTAAACAAGGTCGATATGGGTTGAAGAGGTTAGTGGATAACATGCACATGTCTTTTCCATGCAACTCTAATGCAGCCCAGGGAGATCACGAGCAACTGCGAGAGGAGGTGAAGACGTTGAAGAAGATTCAAATTGAGAAAGATGCTCAAATCAAATTTCTCTTAAATTGCAACAAGTTATTCCTTGATAAGTTAGGCATTTGTCCACCGTCTCCTTTGTCATCTCCAATGGACGAGGATGAATCAGAGACTCAAGAAAAGATCATGGGAATTTAAGTAAAGTGTTTCTTTTTCTACTAATTAAGCTTCTAGAACTTAAAAAAAAAAAAGAATCTACGTAGATCTTTTTTTTGGTATTTTGTAATGTAAAATATTTGGCTTATGTTTAATGTTATTTAAATTTATAATTATTTTTGACTAATTAATTTCAAATTTAAATTTTTTGTACTAATTTATTTTTGAATATTGGTCATTTGATTTTTAATTAAACTCGTAGGAAATTGGCAAGAAACATTTTTGTAGGGTATTAGTAGGATATATCTCCAAGTAAAATCGTAGGTAAAAGGTTGATTATATTGGTAAGTAAATGGTAGAAAATCTCTTATCTACGAATATTTTCGTAGGAGATTGGTTAGCACGTAACTACGACTTACCGTACGAATTACCTACCGCAACTTGTTACGAAATTTCCTTCGAAAAATTTCGTAGGAAACTAGGCAATTTATTACGATTTTTCTACCGTTTTCGATTTTCCTACAAAAGAAACTCTACGACTCAATTTCGTAGGAAATCGGTAAGAAATCACTGTTTTCTACAATTTTCCAACGATTATGTCCGTCGGAAACCGTTATGTTTTCTTGTAATGACGAGGAATGTTACAAGCGATGCATTGGAAAAAAAAACTAAGGCATTTGACAAGAAATTAAGGGCCTGATTGGTTTAACCACTGCGGTTGCGGTTGCGGGTGCGGGAGTTTGCGGAAGCGGGCGGTTGTGATTAGTAGCGTTATTAAGCGGTTTGTACGACTGGCATAACAATTGAAAATGGATGCGTTTGCGGGATACTTATGACTGGTTCACTTGCGGATGCAATAGCGGTTAAACAATAAATTAATAATATAAACACATTATATAATTATAAAAATATCAAAACTATATTATAATGAAAATTTTAAATTTATGGTTCAACATAATTAAAAATATTTTTTTATAAAGAATAATATGTGTATAATACTTACGTCTATCTTTTAATTTCTATAATTTAAATAAAAAATGTGATTTTATTTTCAAAATATATATTTAATGTGAAAATTAAATTTATATTACAATTTTATTTATTAGATATATATGTATTAGTATGAAAGAATATTTATCAAGAGAATTTTGATTTGTAGAACTTATAAATATATAAGTATGATATGATTTTAATGAATATTGACTAAAAGTACTAATTTTTTTTTATATTGTGATTTTATTATCCAAATCTTATTTTTTAATAAAGATTATTATTTATTTTCGGATTTTATATAAGTTTGTGTTTTTTTTTTTTTTTTTAATTATCCACCCGCAACCGCCCGCAACCGCAAACGCTGCTGGAAAGGAGCTTTTGATTTTGAGGGATGTTGAGGGATTTGAGCGGTTTGAAACGGTATAAAGCGTTTGTGGTGATTGTTGTCAAACGCCAATAACCGCTACTACCCAAACGCTGCGTTTGCGGGGAGCAGCGGTGAACCAATCAACACCTAACTGACAGACATAAGAAGAACTTTTTATATGGGCCTAAGATATTGGAAATAGTAGATGAATCAATCAAATGATTATGGATTTCTTACGCATCACTCGTCTCTGAACCAAACCATGTGATAAAATTTGTTTAAAATATATTTAAATATAATAGCAAATTGAATAAATGTTTTTTATGATCGCACATTTTCGTTCTTAACTGTCTCGTCTATAACCATTTATCAAAGGGTTGTGTCTTCATGAATCACATTTTCTCCATTATAACTGTCTAATTTAACGAACAGCTACAACTTTTAATAATTATATTTTTTCACTTTTATATATATTATTTATAACATTTTCGCTTTTCAATTAAAATATTTCCAATTTTATTTTCTTTTGATTTTGCTTGTCCCTTTTTTCTCATCATCATTGTGTTTTCTTATAATCACATTCATTTGTTTGGTTGAAAAAATATTTCTTCCTTTTCATATGTATTTTTCTCTGATTTTTTTCTTTATAGTTAATTGCTAATTTCATATAGCAACTTGTCTTTCATCAATCAAATTTTCAGTTCAAAACTCTTTTTTGGTGGAAATTGCCAATTTTAGACCACAATTTCATTTTTTCTAGTCAACTAGATCACAATTGAATCAAATGCAAAACTAACTTCCATGGGTAGTAAAATTACCCCACACTCCCTCATGACCAAACAAAAAAACATATGCCTCGATTACGATTTTAACCTCCGACCAGGTAGATCTACCGTGAGATCTACCTGGTAGACAATATTGGAGGTCTACCTCGTAATAACATCTTAAATTTTAATTAACAATTCAATAAAAAATATTTTATACAAAAAAATTATGAATAATTATAATATAGACATTATCAACTACCAAAAATATGAATGCATACAAATGAATCATTTATAGATAAGCAAAGACATGTAGGTTAAAATCTATAAAAATTGTGAGGTCTACCGAGTAAGTCTACTATGTCATTAAATTTTAATTTTAATTATAAAATTTGAAAAAAAATATTTTGATGAAAATTTTTATACATAAATACAATACAGACAACTTGCATCTATATAAAATATAATTTCATAGATTTGAACCAATTGAACTATGAAAAAAAATTAGGTTAAAAGCCTATAAAACCATGAAGATCTACCAAGTAGGTCTACTAAATCTTCAAATCTTAAATTTAAATTAAGAAAATTTAAAAAATAATTTGAAATATTTGTTTCACAAATAACGAAATAATAGACATTTAACATCTATTAAAAATAAAATTTCAGAAAATCATGAATCTATAAATATCATATGAGTATATAGTTCATAAGGATAAGAGTTTGAGTAGATTGTTTAAGGTTTAATGGTGTAAGTTGTAGGGTTTTGAAAAAATTTAGATGAATAATTGTTTTTGATTGGTTTTACGATTCAATGTTCGTTTATTTGTGATATACACTGTAAATTGACAATATGGCAAGCAAATCGTTGCAAAATTGTATCTAAATTATTCGATTTAGGGTTTAGGGTAAAGTAGACCTAACAGTAGACTAATAAGTAGACCGAGTGGAGGTCTACCAACCGTTTTAACCTAGCGGGAATCCCAAAGTTTCAAAGACGGCTGAGATCGAAACGACGTTTTGGTAATTTCGTGGTAGACCGAGTGGTAGACCTCATTAAACGTAAGCCGGAAATAACCGGCTCAATTGTTTGCGTAGAACCGTAAATTGAACCCTGAACCGATATTAATTGAAATAACCGGCTAATTTGTTGGTTCAAACCGATATAACCAAACCAGTACATCGAACCGACGTATATAAAGCGATTTTAACCCTCAGCAGTTAATTTCTAGGTTTTGTTAGAAGTTGCGAGTCGGCGCTCTCGAGAGGCGATTTCTTCGATTTCCGTGTCCGATGCCGTTTGCTCCGCCTCCGTTTGTCGCGCCGGTAATATCTCCGACCCTCTACCTCTGTTGTTACATATCTCCGTTCAGTCGTCTAACGGTTTTATTGTTTATATTATGTTCGAATCGGCGCCATCTTGTCCGCCGTGTGGTGAACTCGTCGCCGTTGTCTAACAGAGTCGGAGCGCTCCACATCGATCCCTTTCCCGGTAGTAACTCCGTCACTCACTCTTCTTACCATTTCGGCTTTATAACCACATAATCTCACCGAAATCATGTGTCTTTTTTGTCGTTAGATCTCGTTTCAGATATCGTTCCTTGCTTTGCGATAAGCGCTTAGGATGTCGTCTCGAGAGGTACAAGTATCAATCTATAACATAACCTCTACAACTCATATATGTCTTTCTTCTTCGTGATTTCTTCTTGTTTTCGTCTTCTTGAAACTCGCTTCGTGATTTCGGATGAAACATAGTAGACCTTTTCGGTAGACATTTGTGGTAGACATTTTCGGTAGACCTTTGTGGTAGCCACTTAGATTTTCCTTTTTGTCGTTGCAGAATGGAGAAGCCTACCTTTCCAAGGAGGTTATACACAAGAGGAGCTGAACCGGAAGCCCAAAAGAGCATTTCCTACGCAGCAACGACAAAAAGCTATTTGCTGCCGTGAAAAAACTACTGAGTGATGCCGAGTGGGAAACACTATGCGACTCGCGAGTTGGTGTCTTCTGCAAGTTTCACGACCTCAAATTCGAGTGGTCTTCGAAGTTGGTTCACACGATGCTCTCATATCAGTTAGAGTGCAAGAAGAAGTATGAGATCTGGAGTGCGGTTGCGGATAGCCCAATTAGATTTTCTCATGAGTTTGAACATCTCACCGGCCTCAACTGCGACTATGTGGAGGATCTTGGTGACCCCAAGTGCAAGGTTACTTTAGATATGAGAGCATTCTGGGAGAAGCTCGGAGTAGGTGTTGAGCTTGGTCCGAGTCAAGTGGAGCTCATTCGTGCATGCGAATGGGCAACAGACTGGCCGAAATGAGGACAAACTTAGGCTTGGTTACTTGACCATCTACTGGCTTCATTGCTGCTTAAAAACACCTCGCACACTCCTGTGAACCTGGCCAGATTAGTGATGGATGAAGAGGAGTTTGAGAATTATCCGTGGGGGCGTGTAGCTTTCAAGAACCTGATGAAGCCGTCAAAGAAGCAGAGCTATGGAAGTCCGGGTATGTCCTGGATGGGTTTGTTGAGGTTCTACAAGTATGGGCATATCGTTTCATGCCTGAATTCAGAGTGCGCCCATACCTAACGCTCCAAACACTCCGCTCTTGGCCTACAAAGGAATCCAGGGTTAAGGAAACATTGAACTCACGATACTGAAGCAGGAAGATATAGACAATTTTGTTGAAATAGACCTCTATGGTAGACCTATATAGTAGATCTCTATAGTAGACCTATTAAGTAAACCTTTTAAATAGACCTCTATGGTATACTGGTTTATTGACTTTACCTTATGTTTGTAGGTGAACTCTGATCAGTGATCACTTCATTATGGTGGAGAGAGACTTTGTTTACCTAAAGTGGGATGATGATAAAGAAAACCTGCTCGTAGATAATCTCATCAAGGCGATGTAGGGAGAGCTAGGCCATTGAAAGTGGAAGCCGGCGGACTGGAATCCTCAAGGTGTTATGGTGAAGAATCCTAAACCCCCGGAGTCTGCGAAGAGGAAAAGATCCTCAGACCATGGAGATGAAATGCAGAAGAGGATGTGTCCTGAGAGCATTTCCCTTGCTGAAGATGGGTTCAGTCGATTCGAGGAGAAGCTGAAGTTGATGATTGAAGAGTGCACGAGTAAGTTGTTTGCGGAGATTAAGTTGGGCTTTGAACAGTCTGATTCAAAGTTCACGATCCTAACTAGGAAGGTGGTCCGCATAGAAAAAACTGTCCAGGCTATGCGAGCAGCATCCGGACCCCAAACCTGAGGCTCCTAAACAGAAAAACAAGCCGTCTGGTGAAGAGGGGGAAGCTAAGTATTTTCTTAAACTTCATCTTAGTTATATGAGCTATCCTGACTTGTTTGATTAACAACTGTGCTTTTTATGAATTCTATCCAGGGGCCCTAAGTCGTTTGACATCTTCATTGAACCTCAACTACACTGGTGGCAGGAATTGGTCATGCAGACGCAATGGCTTGCTGATACGGTAAGTCGACCATTATGATAGACCATTACGGTAGACCATTTTTCTGTTTCAGTTTTCTAACATTGAATATGTATTTCGCATCTATTTTCAGCACATGGACGCAATAACATACATGTTTCGTCAGCGAATGAAATTGCACCCGGAGTGGTTTAGGAGAGATCGAATTTGCTTTGCTGATAGTGGTCTTAGTATGTTGTGGACGAGAGACAAGTACGAGAGGTTTAAGAATTCTGTGCCGGATAAACATGGACTAGGAAGCTGACTCCCAGGAGGTGCGACCGATTACTTTGAAGGGAAGACACCACTATTCTGCCAAACCCTGAAGAATTCGGAAGTAGATATCGATGAAATCTACATGCCATGGAACATCAAAGACAATCATTGGGTGGTGTTGATGATCTCCTTATCTAATTGGCATATTACTTGTGGGACAACATTCCAAAGTATCTCAAAGAGAACGTGTTATCCGCATCTCTTGAGCTTGTTGCTGTGATAATGCCTTATCTACAACGGCGCATGACTTACATCGATGGCATGCATAGATGTTCGTTTGCCCGTTTCACCTATTGAGTATGTTTCTGCAGGAGCTGTGCATGCGCAAGATAATGCAACTGACTCTGGAGTCTACTGTCTAAAGTTCATGGAGTACCATAGTCTTGGGAGGCTTTTTCCGAAGACGCTTATGTGGTAAGAACATAAGAGCTATCAGAGCAAAGCTTGCAGCGGACCTATATCACGAGATCAACTGTCGCGGCCCTCCAGAGCGTAACTGGGAGGATCTGGACAATGACATATAACTATCTAGGTAGATCGGTATATATCAGTTTTAGGCTGGGTGTGTTTTGTAAAGCGCTCATGGTACCATATTTTGCTGTGTACCTAAACTCGACGCTCTCATTATTTTTTGGTGTAAAATATAACTACCTAACCCAGCTAAATATATAATATAACTGTTTTCGGATAAATTCAAATTCTTGCATGTTTACTAACATAGACGTCAATATCAAACAAAATGAATAACATAAAACATTAGTAACTCAAAACAGCTAAAGTAGACCTCAGGTAGATTGTTGTAGATCGGTCGGGTAGACCTACAATTCAGACCGAATAATTACATTAAAAACTTGAAAACATGCGGTCTACCGAATTAGTCGACTAAGTCAGTCTGCCGTGCGTTGTTCATCTGCAGGAGTTATGGAACTCAAGTAAGGATAAAACTGAAACATTAACGGAAAGAGGGAGTTTTCAATGGCTTACACAATGAGGTCGGGTGTGTCCTGGAACCCTGCACAACGAACAGCTATAAACTTTGTGGACCTTCCTTGGTTTGGGCTGTCTCTTCCTTGACAATTCTAGCCATGTTAGATACCTTGATTTCTTTTTCCGGCCACGAGTCGCCACTTCTGGAGGTAAGCAAATGTCTTCTTCTTCCTCTGCATCTTCTGTAGGCTCCGGGTATATGGGACGTGCATATGTTGCATACAAAGATTCTTTCGTGTATGTCATACACACGTTTTGCGAAATGTGCATGTTTGCCTCAGTAGACGCTGCAATCGCATGTGAACAAGGTATTTTCTCAATCTGGAATACACCACATTCGCAGGAACGGTTTTCCAAATTCACAATATAATGCCCTCCTCCGCCTATAACATTGAAAGTCCATCCATCTATGTGTTCCACAGTGTATGTTTCTGCGTGGTGTGTACGAATAGCTAGCAAATATTCAACTCCCTTGCTGTATGGGGTCTGAAGACTCAAGGCGTCCTCTCGCCTTTTGGCAAACCAAACCCCCAACTTCTCCCGGATGAATTGCAGCAGATACGGTATTGGAAAGCCCTTTGCTCTCTTCAATGCGGAATTGATAGATTCAGCAATGTTACTTGTCTTTATATTGTATCTATCCCCTGGAAAATGTACTCTGGACCATAACTTAGGATCTGCTAACTCTAAGTAGTTCGCAAGTGCAGGTTTAGCAGCCCGGATTGATGCCATGCAACGGTTATACTCTCTCAGCGTATGGGCGTATGCAGCTCCTTTCACCAAGTACATCAAATCCTTTGCACCCAGCTCTGACTTTGAGACAATGTTTCCCTGAAGATGGTAGTAACAAATACCTCTGGTTACCCAAGGTAGAACATTGAGACATGCATTAGGTATGGAGGGGTGCCTGTCCGAAATAATGACCATGTGATGAGATGAAAAGCATTGCTGCAACTTGTTCATAAACCACCCCCATGATTCGTTATTCTCGGCATCTACAATCCCAAATGCCAACGGGAAAACCTGAAAATTAGCATCTTGTCCGGCTGCAACCAGCAATGTTCCTCCATACTTTCCAGTTAGATGAGTCCCATCTACCACAATAACACGTCTCAAGTACTGAAAGCCAACCATTGAAGCATACAAGGACAAGAAGCAGTATTTGAATTGACCATTAGCCTCACATACAAGGTCAGTCACGGAGCCCGGGTTTGACTGCTTCACTCTTCGCAAGTACGAGGGCAAAGCCGCATATCCAGCTTCTGGTGTTCCCCTAACAAAAAGTTGGGCAGCTTTTAAAGCTCTGTAAGAAGTGGTGTAGTTAAGCTTAAGTCCAAGCAACACCCTTATCGCGGAAGCAATATGCCTTGGGACAATTCCATCAATGATTCCAAACTGCTCTACAAATATCTGCCCAAGATACCTTGGAGTACATCCCTTGCGGAATCGAGCACGGTCCACCACAGAGCATGTATGAACCTTGACATACTTTGTGACAAAGAACCTCTTTGCCTCATTCTTTATAGCAGCTCTGCACATCCATTTGCATCCATCTACAAAACATTTTGCCACATAGAGCTTGGTAGTAGACTTAGAAACCTTGAAGGCGAATCTAGACTTCACTGCCTTCACTCGCAAGGCAGATATGAGATCATTCTTGCTTACATAGCTCTGGCCAACTGATATATCGCCTGACCCATCGAATCCTACCCCATGACCATTCAAATCACCTCTGCGAAGCCTTTCTTCAAAGCGTTTTTTCTCCCAATCATCTTCATCTTGAACTTTCCCATACTCACTATAGTCTGCGTCCGTGTCTTCAGCTTTCTTTCCTGCAAAATCTTCATCCACATAGTCATCGTCCCCTGCATCATCATACTCTTCCTCAACTTCTTCATCTGAATTTGCATCCCAGTTTACATCTGAAAGTTCCTCCTCCTCTTCATACTCATCCTCATCCACATAGTTATCTTCATCGACATAGTTATCCTCATCTCTCTGCTGACCTTTATCCTTGTTTCCAACAGAGATGCAAAGGCGCAGCACATGCGTTTTGCATGTCTCTATCAAGCTATGGACCTGCCCATCGTTGGTGATGTACATAGGAGGAAAGTCAGAGGGCATTTGATGGAGCATAACATCTGGTAATGGATAGATAACTCCACCCGCTCTGGTTCCATATCCAGCATATAGTCAGCTTGTACCATTCTAAGGAGCTCCTCATGTGTACAACCATCACGCAAGTAGAACATTCCCTCCTTTTCCTTTATCGACCTCAAAATTCCATGTCTTGTCTTCCATCACCACCCATTTTCCATAAACGGAAGCTAGACAAACCATTACCTGCAACAAAAACGAACAAGACCACAAAACGGATTAGTAGACAGAATGGGTAGACCGCTACGGTAGACCCACAACTTGGTCTACCAGGTAAAATTAAGCTAGATACCTAATTCAAAAGAAAACCGAATATAGCCTTAATTACGCAGAAAGAACATTTCAAACTCACACAGAAGCAAGTAAACAAACAAAAGCAACTAACTGTTCGAGATAAATTCAAAATATTTGATATATTGAAAGGAAAACGACATTTAAAAAACACATAATAATAGACCTAAAACGTAGACGTTCGGAGTAGACGTAACGGTAGACCTCCACTTAGGTCTACTCCACGTGGAGGGTTAGTTTTGCAATTGTTCGAGAAAAATGTTTTTTTGGAGGTCTACCGTGTCGGTCTACTACACGTGGAGGGTTAGTTTTGCAATTGACCAAACGTTGACTTTTTGCACGGTCTACCGTCTCCGTCTACCAGAAACGTAGACCTCTCAATCGGTCTACCAAAAAAAGTAGACCTCTTAATTAGTCTACGCCTTAGGTCTACCTAAAAAACAGTTTGTTTTGTGTTGACTCAAGTTTGACTTTCCTCGGGTAGACTTCCGTGGTAGACCTCAGTTTTTTTGCGTTGACCAGTAGACCTCACACGGTAGAACCTACACGGTAGACGCAAACTCTCTCCTTTTTGAGGAAAGTCAAACTTTTGTCAACGGCCAAACCAACTTTTTTTTTTAGGTAGACCGACAAGGTAGACCTCCACAAAACATTTTTCTCGATCAATTGCAAAACTAACCCTCCACGTGTAGTAGACCGACAAGGTAGACCTAAAAAAAAATTTTCTCGAATCAATTGCTAAAACTAACCCTCCACGTGGAGTAGACCTAAGTGAGGTCTACCACTTGTTTTTTTTGTTTGCAAAGGAATTGACCGGTCAACTTTGCGTTGACCAGTAGACCTCAACTGAGGTCTACTATGTAGTAGACCTCTCACTTCAGTCTACCTTTGCGGACCAAAACTGAAAGTTGTTGAATTTTGAAAGAAAGTTACCTCGCCGTCGGAGAAAGGCTCTTCGAAGCCTGATAACTTCAATTTGGGCTTCCAGTAACGATCTCCGGTCGTCAATGTAAGCTAAACAATCGGAAATACCAAGATCCAAGATTTGAGATTTCTTTAGATTTTGGGATGAAAATGGAGAGAAAATGAAGAATAAGAGTTTGTGAGATGAAAGAAGGAGAAATGGTAGCTCACAACGAGTTTTCGGAGCATTGAAAGCTCCATGTTGGTGAAAATGGTGGTTGGCACATTGATGATATGGCATTTTCGAAATTTTGTGTAGGAGATGAGGGGTCTTTGGTCTTTCAGCAGATCGGTAGACCTAAATATCGGTCTACCAATCGAAAAAGTAATGGCATTCCTGTAATTAATTAGAAAAAAACTGGACAAACTTAAAACGAAAAAAATAGGATTAGTTTTGCATTTGACCACAATTTTAAATCTAAAAGTGAAACAACTCTTTCTCAACAATCCCCACATTCACATTGTCTTCATTGTTCTTCCTTCAATTTTAATTTTAGAATCAAGTAAGTTTTGAAATAACCTTTTAAATAAAAAATTTGCTGTCTATTTTTTTCATCATTGCTATATTTTGTAGAATCCCTTTTCTCCAAATTCTTTATTCACATGTCGTTTCCCACCCTTATGATTGTAAGTTATGACTGCTCTTTTACTTTTTTAGAAATTCACCCAACTTGTTGTTTATGATTGATTGTAAGAATTCTTTATTCACAAATCACGAAGCAAAAATAACTCAGAAGCATCACTGAAACTGTACAATTAATGCACAATTAGCAATTTGGTTTTAGGTTAAGATTATGATGAGACTCAAATAAGCACCTCAAACAGATCACCTCTCACCTCAGTCAAAACCTAAGCGTGCATCATAATCAATTGAGGAGTGGTGCCAAAATGTCACAATCAACACAACACAAGATTCTTACCAAAATTCCGTAAGTTGACAAGAATTTGTCGAACATCATCTTCGCAAGGTAAGGTATAACAACATAGTTGATCTCATCGCACCATAAACAAACATAAACATTCCAATTATATTCAAATTTCAACATCGCATAGACAATTTCAAGGTATAAAATTAGTAGTTATTAATATAATACTTATGAGTACGAGAACATATTTGCAAATACTTCTAAATACGGTTGCACCATCTTATTATATCAAGCTATATGGGATTATCAAGGAACTAAATAATATTAAAAAATAAATTTTTATAATAGATCGATCTTCTAATATTAAATAGTTTAATTTTTCATTTTTTGTTAGGTAAAACAATATTAAAAATAAAGAGTTCATTAATATTTAAAATAAAGATTTTATCAATGGAATAATCAAAGTTTCATAAATTAATGAATCGATTAGCTTTTTGTTTCATATCATGAATTCAAAATAAAAATATAAAAAGATTACATATCTTATTTTATTTAAAGATTTGTTATCGTGTTTTAAATATTATTTTACTTATTTTTAAAAGTGATTATTTTTTTTTAATATTCTTTCGTGATTTAAAAAATAAAAATAAAATAAACCCGCGTATATGCGGAGGCTAATCTAGTATATAAATAAAATATATACGTATTTGTTGAATCTATTCAATCCAACACCAACCAATTAAAATTTAAAACTAACCGTTAAACAAAGATGAGGCTCTTGCTTCCATTTTCCTCGCCGTTATCCGCCACGTCACCGACGCACTCGTTACCGGAACATCCACATCCGTCTCAGTTCGACTACTCTGTTCTTACTAAAATCATCAAAAAGTCGGTAATCGGAACCCTCACCGGAGCTCTCTCGCTCACTCTCGTATTCTCGTCGCCGATTACATCCGTTTCCGCTGCCATCGATCCTTATCTATCTCTGAATCCGCCTTCTTCATCGCCTGATTCTTCTCTGAATCACTTCGATTCGTCTCCGGAAGATTGCCCTGACGAGGAAGAAGCTGATACTGAGACGCTAGATGATGACGTCAGGCCTCAGTTAGTAACTAATGAAGGCATTGTTGAAGAAGCTTGGGAGATTGTTAATGACGCCTTCCTCGACACTCGAGGCCATAGCTGGACTCCTGAAACTTGGCAGGTAGTTAAACATTTATGTGGGTATGATAAAGGAAGAAACTTTGATGTGTAAAGATTGGATTTTTGTTGTTTGGGTTGGATAAAAGAGAAGCTTTTTATATGTAAAGATTGAAGCTTTGGTGTTAATTTTCAGAAACAGAAGGAAGTGTTATTGGCTAGTCCAATTAAGAGTAGATCAAAGGCTCATGAAGTGATTAAGAAAATGTTAGGCAGCTTGGGTGACCAATACACTCGATTCCTCTCACCAGAAGAGGTTTTTGTTCTCCACATTGGTTATATGAATTTGATTTGTAAGAGAAGTATGTCTCAGTTACACATTTCTTTGTTTTATAAAGTTCTCTAGGATGTCCAAGTATGACATCACTGGTATTGGGATAAACCTTAGAGAAGTTTCTGATGGTGGTGGAAATGTAAAGTTGAAGGTTCTTGGTCTTGTATTGGACGGTCCTGCTGACATTGCTGGCGTGAAACAGGTTTAAAAACCGGTCTTGTTTCTTTATAAGTGGTTTTGTTCGTTGATTGTATTCGTTAAAACTGTGCAATGACTTTCTCTTGCTAGGGAGATGAAATTCTTGCTGTCAATGGAATGGATGTTGTTGGGAAATCATCATTTGAAGTATCATCTTTGTTACAAGGGCCAAGTAAAACTTTTGTGGTTCTCAAGGTTATTATTCCAAGTATAAAACACAAACTAATTACATTACTACTCTGTTGGAATACCATTCAGGTTATTCATTTGATTCAGGTTACATCATCAGGAATACCGAATACTAACCATTTGATTCAGGTTACATTACTACTCTATTTTAAGTTTTGACGGAAGATTTATGTAGTTTATGCAATATTGCAGGTGAAGCATGGAAAATGTGGACCTGCTAAGACAGTTAAAATCCAGAGACAGGTTAACGCAACGACGCCAGTCTCTTATCGGCTGGAAAAAGTTGACAATGGAAAAATCTCTGTGGGATACATCCGCCTAAAAGAGTTCAATGCCTTGGCTAGAAAAGATTTGGTGATTGGTTAGTCATCAACTTCTGTGGTTCCATCTTTTTTATCTTCTTCCGTTTTAGGCTTCTCATGTTTTTTTTCTCTCACTATTTGCAGCAATGAAACGACTCCAAGAAAAGGGTGCGTCTTATTTCGTAATGGATCTTAGAGATAACCTTGGAGGACTTGTGCAGGTTCATTCTACAACTGTGACTTAAGACCATATCTTCTCACAAATGCTTCACATTCACTTGATTCTTCACTGACGTTTCTCGGTTTTGGTTAGTTCAGGCTGGAATAGAAACTGCTAAGCTGTTCCTAGATGAAGGAGATACGGTAAATACTTCAACTTACATGAAGAGATCCATCACATCACGGTATACTTAAACTCTTGCTCGTATGCTGCAATTGTTTTAACAGGTGATTTACACAGCCGGGAGAGACATGGAGGCTCAAAAGACTGTTGTTGCAGATAGAAAACCGTTGATCACTGCCCCTCTTATTGTATGTGATGGATCATGTAAGCCTTTTCATTTTTCCTCACTATAATGCTTTAATGAATCATGAGCTGAATGGCAAAGCCTCATCACTGTTGCAGGTAATGGTTAATAACAGAACAGCAAGTGCTAGTGAAATTGTGAGTAGTCTCAACATATATAAGCCACGGACTCGGTCTTGTTCAAACAAATATTGAATGAAATGATTTGTCTGTTTTGTCCAGGTGGCCTCTGCACTTCATGATAACTGTAAAGCAGTTCTTGTTGGTGAAAGAACTTACGGAAAGGTTGATTTCAAACTCTATTAGTGTTATATTGGAATCTATCAGTCTGTGATCATTTTCTTGTGGGTTGAATCAGGGTTTGATTCAGTCTGTGTTCGAACTCCGAGATGGTTCAGGAGTTGTTGTGACAATAGGAAAGTATGTCACGCCTAATCATATGGACATCAATGGTGGTGGAATTGAACCTGATTTCAGAAATTTACCAGGTTTTAAATAAACTCTTGATTATTATTTTTTAACCATTTGGACAGTCATTCATTAACCTCGATTTAATCTTTCTTTTGATGATGCATTATGATCAAGCAGGTTGGGATGAAGTGAAAGAACATTTGTCTAAGTGCAACATTCTCCAACAAAGCTGAGACGTGATGAAATTAGGCTGTCTTCTTCTTATTCTTTGCTCAACAGAAAAAAAAAAAAAAAAAAAAAAGATCATGAAACTAGCCAATTTTTTTGGGCGTCAAGGATAAAGAAAATATGTGGGTGTTGATGAAATTTTTGCAAACTTTTAAGGTTATTCATGTGAAAATCGCTGCCAAATTTTGGACGTATGAAAAGGAAAAGAAACATTTTGGCGGTAAATTAATTTTTGTAGCTCGATAAGGAACCTCAAAGACCGGTCCATTGCTGCGTCCTGAGGTTTCCGATACAAAAGCAGACCAATCTTCAAGCTTTCCAGTGAAATGTTCACCATCGGTAAATCTAGTAAGGGAATCTTGACGAATGCGAGAACGGTTTCCTGACAAAACACTTGACCGCTTTGTAGTTGTACCAGAGCCAATTGATTCAAGGTCTGGGATTTACCTATTACGAAAAATTATTTGGGAATCTGTAATATTCTTTGTATAATTGTTACTGTATTGGTGGTGTTAGTGAAGAGTACTTAAGTCTCAATTTCGACGAACAGTAAAAAAAAAACTAAGCCAGAACAATCAAGCTTGACTTAAAAGAGGACCAAAATTATACAGCTCTATTAGATGCTTTAGAACGTTTTGTTTATCAGTAAAGAGAACCAAAATTATACAAATATTTTCAAAAAAAATTCCAACCAGAACACTGGACTTGATGATAATGGACTGTTGTCAAAATCTTTATTTCGATATTTTATTTTTGGTGTGAAACCTTTATTAAATCTAAGTCCACTTTCCACATGTAGATACAAAAGTATAGTTATTAAAATGCATAAATAAATATAAAAAAGTTATCAAAAGTAGTAACATAGGATCGCTTCTCTTAATAGCTTTTGGGTAATGAGGGTGAGGGACGTATTCTATGCGTCTCTGTGCGGCGAAAAGACGGGAAGAGTGATTCGATACAATAAGAGAACGAAAGAGGCAAAAGTTGTAATGGACCGTCTTCATTTCCCCAATGGTTTTCCCTTAAGCAAGGATGGTTCGTTCAACGCAAAGATGGTTCGTGCTTAATTCCTGCGATGTCCCAACGCAACTGGTGCATCGATATTGGGCCAAGGAGCCAAAATATGGGACCCGAAACATATTCGCAAAGCTCCCTAGCTACGCCAATGACATCAGAAGAACCGAGACAGGGGATTTATGGGTTGCCTTGCATTCCAAGAAAACTCCATTTCTAGGTTTTCGTTGATGCATCCATCGATCGGGAAATTCTTCATGAAGACGTTGAAAATGTAGCTGTTGGGTTTCCTCTTTGAAGGCGGGAAGCCTCATGCCGTGGCCGTGAAACTCTGCGGCGAGACCAGTGAGGTTTTGGAGATTCTTGAGGATAGTGAAAGGAAGAATATGAAGTTTGTAAGTGAGGTTCAAGAGAGATATCGTAAGCTCTGGTTTGGGTGTGTGTTTCTGCCTTCCGTTTGGGTTCTCGATTGTTGGTGACTTATACGATTACGTTTATTTAAGAACTTTGATTAGTACCGTGATTAAAGGGTCTTTCTTTTGCTTCTACATTAATATCACTTTCTCATTTGTGTGGATTTGATAATAATCAAATGCTTTGAGCCTATAATGCACGGGGACGCCATTTTGCTGCCGTCTCCCGTACCAGAAACGTTCCGGGGACTGGTACTCTTTGGGGACGCCATTGAAACGTCCCGGGAGTGTCCCAAGGAAAATGGAGACGGCATAAAAAACGGGGACGGTTTCAGCGATGTATCTCTATCCAAATAGGTGTCCCCGTGTAGAGTTATGTATATTAACTTATTCAAAAATTGGAAACTAAAGAGATTGAAGTAATATACAAGTAAAACCTCTATAAAACAATAATGTTGGGACTTTGAAATTTTATTATTATAGAGTTATTATTTTATCGATAAAATAATAATTTTATAGAAATATTCTATCAAAAACAAGAAATATATTTTTTCACTTTTTTATTCAAATTTTCCTTATAGTTTGTTATTTACATATTTCATGCTCAGAAGTTCAAAATCTAGAAGAAATTATGTCTAATGTTCTTAGATATATATGCCTTAGTTTTATAATTATTATCTCACCTTATTGTTGGGACTATATTTTTACATAGGAGTTTTAAAAAAATTATTGTCTTATCATCTTATCGCATTATACTATTTTTTACATTGGCCCGAGTTGGGACCGGAGAAAATTATTATCTTATAATGTTTATTGTTTTATCGAGTATTTTTTTATAGAGTTGGCTTGAGAGAGATGTGTTTTAGACTTTTAGGCATTGAAGAGTTTTAGGCTTTGAACAGTTTCACTTAATTAAGGACTTGGGAGGCGGCTTTGCTCCTAAAGAAAAAACGGAAGATTATAAGCTCTTATAGAGAGAGACACGAAGCTGGAGATTTTGTCTGTTTTTGTAGCAAATCGTACCCGTTACGATTAGATCGATGTTAGATAACATAACATGTTTGCTATTATACACTGTTGCATGCTTATTTTCAAATTTGTCAAATTTCCCGTCCAAACAGACAATTGGACGGTGACAATTTTAAAGAAGAAACTAATAATTTATTACGACTATTGGCACTACAACTCCAATAAAATGGGCAAATGCGGTATAAAGATCAGATCCAATACTAAAGCAAACATGACATAAGTATTAAAGTCGAGTTTCTTGTTGCAATTTAAAATTAATACAAAAGTCGAAATACAAAACCGAAGACATAATACAAAATATTCCAAAGAGAGAGTAGCGCAAAAATATGAGAGAGATCCAAGAATCTTGACATACTCCGTGATAATGTTCAGTGCCACTGCCACATACACAAAACCAAGATGACCCCATTCTGGTCATTGAGAGTCTTGGCATTCAAGGACCAAATGGTCCTTATTGAGGTAGCAAGCAATGCATGACCGATCCGAGAATATTGTGCAAGTTGTTCAATTGAAGGATCATAGACATAGCCCAGCGTGTGAGGATTGCATAAGCGGGAGAGACGATCACTCATCACCCTAACAGTTATGACTCCTTGACCAATATCATAAACTAATTGCGCATAAAATCAATTCTGATACACGGATGAACATTTCTCACCCATGAAATCGATTAACTGCTATGTCAGGGGGTAAACTTCCATGAAATCATCAATGCATACATGTTCACATACATCTGCAAAATAGAGAGAGAAAAAATTGAAGTTAACTGATCAAATCTTATATGTAATAGATGAATAACTTTCTCCAGTTTGCTGACACCTGTCATTTTACACTTTAAAAAAATTGACACGTGGCAGCATCTTAAATATAAAAAAAAAATTTAACACACGGGCGAACTAAAATCGTTTGGCTTCCGACGTTTCGTTTTTTGCCATTGCCCTCGGCGACGCTTCGAAGAATGAGATTCCCCGGCGTGACTAGCAGTGGTGATGCGTCGTGGATGAGTGAGAGGAGAGCTGAGAGGAGAGCTGAGAGCGATGTGAGAGGCCGCTCTCTGAAATGGAGGTTTCTCATTCCCGTTGAGATGGTGATTGAGCCGCCAATATCCCTTGCGCAAGAACGGTGTGGTCGCCGTTAATGTTTCCGGTGGCTCCGATTAGCTCTGCCGCGTTGCACAGCTGCTCGACAAATTCGTCGATGCTGAATTGAAAGAAAGAGAAAAACCTTTGAATTTTCAAGACTGAAAACCAGAAAAATCAGTTCACGCAAAATGAAATTACCCAAATCAGACTACTGGCGATCTTATTTAGAAGAACTGGATTAACTTTGTTTTAGCTTTAGTTTCTGACTGAATAGGTGGATTAATCTCAAATCATTCTTAGGGTTGTGCTTAGTAAGAAACCCCAAATCGGTTTCACGACACTAGCTTTTCTTGGTTTGGAAAAAAAATTGTCAAAACGACGTCACACCAATTTAATTCCTTAAATATAAGTAGAGATGGACATGTGGCAAATTAAAAAATTGCCTTTCACACTTCCGAAGAAAACGTTTCTTCTGCCGATTAAACATCTTTCTTCTTCGCAAATCAGGAGAGAAGGTTTTTATATTCCCGATCATTTTCATCTCCGTTGATTGAGTTTTCAAGTCCCTTCATGTGATTCTTCACTACCTTCCCTCCGATGACAAATTAGGGTTCTTATTCCAACACAAAATGCCAATTTCTCTGCATCATATAAATTTGGAATTTTCACATATTCTGCAGGAGTCAGGGCTCTCCCATTATTGGAACTCTTCGAGTAGATTGAAAAACTGGAACAAGGCTCTCAGGTTCTTTGTCCTCCCTTTCATTATTTTCTCTCACTCTCTCTGTTTTTCCATGGAGCACCATTTCCCTTAGGTGGAAACCAAAGCTGGAATATTTCTCTTATACTGTTACCTTCTTCACTTTTGTTGGTTATGCAATGAACCCCCAAGTATTACATTTTCTTTCTTCTTTAGCCAGGAAATAGTGGATCTAACACTGGTTGTGCAAGTTATAAGTCACTTCTGAATTTTCATAATCCTCTCACTATATAGGCAGTTAGAGACAAAGCTGGTAGTCTCATTATTGAAAAACCAAGCAACGGTCTTTTATGGTCTTCATTGGACACGGCTGCTTTGATAAAATGGTTAATATCATGAGATTATTGGTATAGTAGCTAATTAATATGTTTACTTGGTTTTTGTCAAACTCATAAACTAAGAGAGGAGAGATCGAAGATGCTGATGAGCCCTGCATCCGCCATGAAATCTGTTGGAGTTTTGGTTCTGAGATCATAATTTCTCTCTGTCTTATTTCCCTATCTGATATCTGATCGATCAGAATTTCAGAAAACAATCCATCGATCTGATCTCCGTTTCTATGATCATTATTTACAGCTTATGCGAAGAAATCATGATGCGACAGAGTTGCAGACTGGTGTCAAGGTATATAACGCTCTTTCACGTTCTCTACATCGGAGTTTATTTTCATTCGTTTGAATTTCCATTTCATATTCCTCTGTTGGCGAGATTGAATTTGATATCTCAGTTTACGTGATTAAAAGATGACATTTCATACTCTCTTAAAGACAACATGTGGAACTCTAAATTGTGTTGCTCTTGAGGTAAATCAATTTCTCTGCTGTTTTTGAAATATAATGATGTTTTTATCTGGTAGCTCAGAAAATCGGCTTTGTTTTGGATTCATAGTAGTGATGAATGATGACCATTTGGTAGTGTTGGTGCGTTGGTCACGAACTGCTTTCTCTCCTTGAGTCCCCATCGTTGGAGCTTAGCAGCCGGAGGAACAAGGTTCATCTTTGTCTCCCTATTATCCAAATTGGTTTGATATTCCTCAATTCGTACTCATTTAACAAAAACAGAATCATATTTCGAAAAGAGACAAATTTTAAATGTTGTTTCAAAGAAAAATATGTTGTTCTGACAGATCGATGTTCTTCGACTCTTCTATGGCGTTTAAACTATTAAAATTAAACACTAAACGAATGTGTTCATACAAAAATGTATTTTTCCAAAATTGTGAGTTCGAATTGAAGACTTTGCTTAGATTAGGCTTCGTTGGCTTCAACGACCTTCGCTGAAAAATTAGTACTTGATCCATATAATTTCTATTTGGTTGGAGTATGTCTTTGTTTGTGAAAAGTTTTGTTAATGTTTATGGCGGCTGCGACTCGAGAGTATGAATGGAAGTGGCTATTTAAGGTAATAAGCTCTGTACAGTCTCTGAGATAATTTATTAGATTTGTTGTGGTTCATTTTAGAGATTCTCGAAAACACTGTGCTCTATAAACCATTTGCTAACGAAAGTTTGCTAATAATACCCTTATAAATCAGTCACAGGTCACTCGGACGCTTGTACGGCTATATTTTTTACTCTAGCGGCTTCTCTCAAGTTATCGAAGATGTCGATGATTTAGAACTTTGTATAATATCTTCTGTTAACAAAAGTTTTATTGTTCTTGATGTCTGTGAATTAATTTTTTGATTTTTATGATCTGTTGATGTCTGGAGAAAGACGAGGGGGAAAATGTATTGAAAAATACCAGCGTCAATGACTCAATGTAAAAACCCTAGAAATTGTGGGAACAATCTCCGGTAACACGCAACCCAAGGCAACGTGAGAAAGAAAGTAATTAATAAAAAACTAAGAAAAACATTATAGATGGAGTTCTAAAACATTTTCTATTGAAAAACTGTTTTTTCTGGTATATACTACACATATACAGATATACTAGATCAATCTACAGTCGTTGAGGATTTTGTGATAGCTTTGTTTGATAGAAGGATGCTCTAAAAAGTTGTTAATATCATGTAATGACGTATTTATATATAGATCAGAGATTGTAAACTCATGTTCCTTGACCGTTGTTTACTTAACAAAATAAACTTTATGATAGTTAAAACTTAAAAATATTATTCATTTTTAATTCTAACTTCTAAAGTCATAAAATCAATAAATGTTTACAAAAACTTTTAAAGTTTAAATTTAAGTTTGAAAACACATTTCAAGAACAGGAATGTAGAAGGATAAAAAAGCATTGATCATTTTATTGTAGTTCTCAAATTTTAATATTTTCAAAACTGAAAGATGGTTCATATCCTATAGATTTATAATATTATCACATATTTAAAATACAAAACATTATAGAAGGAAAAAAGAATAGAAACTAACGGTAAAACCTGCAAATGGTGTCAAGATTCAACCTGTTATGCACAGTTGAGGAAAATATTATAAAGAGAAACCCGCACATAATAGGCATCATGAACTCCAATGATGAGGTGCATAATACGCATTATAGGATGTTTGTCATCATTTTTGAAGAAACTCATGAAAATCAAAAACTTCATTACCACCAACATCGTAAAATTTTATCATTGCTGGATTCACCCAATTTCGTAAGCATCTTTTGTAAATTCTTTGGCATTATGCATCCTTTCAAATATAAGAAGATATAAAATATTAACAAAATTCAAATGATAATTAAAATATAAATAAGAAAACTTAGTGATATTTACAACCCGTGTATCGTGCGAGCTAAGCTCTAATATCTACAATTTATATATTTTTTATTATAAAAGTTGTCCATCTCTCCAGTTGATCGCCACGTCAGCACGGAAGAGATAGACACGTGGCACCCTCTACGATTTTCGCACTTTTGTTTTTCCTTTCTCAAAACGACACCGTTTCAGACTACGCACGCAAAAAATTTCCTCATATTTCAGAAGCGGTTCTCTCTCCTCTCTCTCTCTTCTCCTTCGCTCTTCCCCGGCGATTTGGCTACTCTATGGCGATCGAAAGCTTTCATCGATTTGGCAGGAGAAATCGAACCGTTTCTCATCAATCCGGTGGTGGGGCAATCGATTTGCCTCGGTGAGATCAACCGTGGATCCTATAAAAAGATGAATTTTCTTAGTTTTCAATCGACAATTTCGTAACGGCTTTTCAGCTCCAGAGATCCTATAACTCGCGAATTCATCACCCCTGTTCCTCCGTCTACGCGATTCTATTCAGCGAAACACGCCAGTTCCACGCTGTCCGCCGCCGCTCTCCGGCCAACGCAAAAATCGCAGATTCACTTCGGCTTTAACCCGAGAGGCGATGGCTTCTTTGTTCAAGGTACACAGGTTTATAATTATTTGACGACTTTTGGCGAACGCATTGTGTGGGTTTGGCTTCTCAATTGGTTTACGGTAGCTAATTTTGTAGCGACTGGAGTGTCTGTGTTGTTTGGAATCAGATGGGTTTAAGTGTTTAACACAGTGACGAGCGATGAAACCCAAAATCGACTTATTGATGTGGAAATGAAGACGTTTATTTGCTTTTAGCTGAGCAAGTTTCTGACTTGCATTCAGTCTTTGTATCGATTCGTTTAAAAGATTTTGTCTCTGAGTTGTTATGTTTTGGGTTTCTGATATGATCAGGAGCAAGCAAAGCTCTCGGCTTATCGAGATAGGAGATTGCCAGGAACACAAGAGGAGTTCCACTAGGCGCTAAGGACATCTTCGACTGTTTACATTGCATAAATATAAGTCTTGTCTAAAGACATCTAAAGTGAGAAATTTCAGTTATCTGCTTAACATGATATCGGCGGGATTTTCGATTATACAATCTCTCTGTTTTGCCGTATCTGAACGATATGGAAGGAATATTCGAACTTCTGCACAATGCAAGAATATCGACGTGTTGATGAAGAGGTATGTATTTCAACTCCAGTTATGTTACATCAAAACCAGGTAAGGCAGTGTTAGATTTTTGCATAAGTTAATTTCTTTTCTTCTTTTAATGTACATCTCTTGCAGTTGTTAAGTCATTAACGAATACTTCAACCTCCACTTGACTCGCTGTGTTGTTCTAAGCATATCAATTACTGAATCTTTCTTAACAGGGCAAGAACTGGAATGTGTATATTGATCTATCTAAGGTTCTGTACTCCTCTCACTCTCTATATCTCCCTCAGTTTATAATAGTGTAGTGTTATTAGTTTTACTTGTGTTTGAATTGTTGCAGTATTAGGAGTTGTCGAAAATGTCTGATTGTTTATAGGATATATCTGGCTTTTTGGTGACTTGTGGAGCAGAATAAGATTAGATGAACAAGAATGTCGTCTTATAAGATTTCTTCTCTCTTTGCCCCCAATTTCAGCAAATTGTTTTCTCCAGAAAAGAACTCTTTTGTTTTCCAGGTACGTCTTATTTCTAAGCTTCTCAATTTCCAGTAGTATGAGCTGTTGTATGTGTTTGATTTTTGTAGTAATAGCATGAGTTTATCTAAGGTTTGAGTCTAAGACCAAACAACATTTTTCCTTTTTAAATGGTTTCTCAGATACTGTTAGATAAATCCATGAAGAAATGTGATAAGTAACATGTTCATGAAGTTTAGATACTAGAGTGGTATGTCAGGAAATTATACCATCATCACTGTTACTACTTGCAACATTATATGCTCTCTTTTTGGCCTCACATCAATGTCTCTTTGTTTGATTCTTAGACCAAGAAACCCAGCTATTGTAGATGCAAACGCTTTTGATAAGGTTATAGGTTGTTTTTCACTTAATCAAAGTTGTTTACTCGTAGATTTGTTATTGATATTACATAGTTGAGATCTCATGATATGGTCTATATCAACACTTGCAGGAATTAAGTCCAAGAGACGCCAAGTGACTAATGGACTTTGTCATCCATTTATAATCCTAAAACTCATATTCTTCTTTGAAACCAAATGTATTGTCTATAACACAATTAACTTCTCGGTTATTAAAATTTTGGTCTTTTAACGCAGAGTATAACTATCTATATGATGCATTTATCAGAGGCAGATTTTGGAGTCTATGCATTCATCTTCACAAAAGCAAAGCTTGAGTTTCTTTCTAAGGTATGTGTCCTTCTCTTTTGACTTTGAATTTTAGTCATGTGTTGTTTTTTAGGTTGATTGTTTGATTTAGATATATAGGCTCAGACACAAACGTGAAAAATACTAACAAATCAAAGTTTCTTCTAGACGAGAGTAGACGAGACGTCACGAGAATGGCCCACCAAAGCTAGACGAGAAGATGATGGAAGATTGTTGCTCTGAGGTGGAAGATTGTTTGGATCACGTGTACAGGAGGTGTAGGAACAAAGATAAATCAGTAGGTCCATTGGAGATTAGAGTGATGAGTTTGGGTACTTTTGATTCGCTAATGGACTTTAGTATCTCTCAAGGATCTTCAGTGAATCAGTATAAGACTCCAAGTTGTGTTAAATCTGGAGGAGCACTTCAGATTCTTCATTTCAGAGTTATTGGGAGGTTCTTCAGCAAGAGAGTTCCTCAGTGGGAACCGCTTGGTTTAGATTCTTAGCTTTGCTCTCTTTTTCTTTTCTTTGTTCACTAAGTGGATTGAGTTGTTTTTGTTTTCTTTTACACAAGTTGGTACGAGGATGTCAGAATCCTCCAACGTTCTTTAATTACCGAATCAATTATCAGATTTGCTAGAAAGGCTAATTAAGGGATCACATATTGCGATTTTACTAATTCACTATAAAAATATATACTACTATTTAAGTTTGTATTGCTACTATGCAATAAATCTCCTTCATGCATGCATTATCAGAATTCAGAAGGAAAGAAGACATTTGTGTTGCGCTTAATATTATTACAAAAGTTCAAAAATGACATTTACCCCGCTAATTAATAAGGTTATTCTCATAAAATATGAAATTTAATTTACTACTAAAATTCTATGATGCTAGGCGTGGTGGTGGAGGTTATGGCCAAGGAGGAACAAATCGCCATGGAAGAGGTGGAGGAGGAGGTATATGCTTAAATTAGCATAATGCTTAGTAGTAGTGTATCAGCATAATTCAAAACCTATTTGATGATGTTTGCAGATTACAATCGGAAACGGCAAGGAGATGATGATCAGTATGGACATGACAACTCAAGAAGAAACTCAGACCAGGAGCCTAATTATTATTATTATTATTTTTTTTTTCTCACGTAGTTGATAACTTAGCCAACTTAGCTTCATTGAAGTAAAAAGATAAAACAAAAAATTGATGATGCATTCAACCGTTGTGCGACTTTCATTCTACTAAATCAACTCAAAGTCTAAGATGATTGATTAATTAACTGAATATGTCGGAGTTTAACCTATATGACATTAAACGTCATTCACACAATCCTACCAAATTTATGTATAATGTCAGAATTGTAACTCAAAAATTATAAAAGGGAGGAAATGAAAAAAATCGAGAAACTAAAAAAAATTGCATCGGGAGACTAGCATATTATTATTATTTATAAATAAAGTTTATAAATATGAAAAAAGTTTTAACAAAACCATCCGCGCATAGCGCTGACTCAAACCTAGTATAAATAATTAAGGAAATACAAGTGATTTATGAAAGGGCAGTCAGCTCTTGAACTAGGAGTCTGGAATATATAGGCAGACGACCTTTACGGATCACATCCAGATTCCTAACCATGGCTATTGCCCAACATATAAACCCACAGAGAACAAAACCACAAGTCTCCACGTTAGCCAAAAGAGAGATTAATATTATCAACAATGTTGATTTAATGTTTTGAGATACTATTCAAATTAAGATAGTGCCCAGCAGATAAACCCATAAAGAACAAAACCATAAGTCTCCACGTTAACCAAAAGAGAAAGATTAATATTATCAACAATGCTGGTTTAATGTTTTGAGATACTATTCAAATTAAGATAGTGTGTTTCTTTTGTGCATCATTTTGAAAGTACGAACTTTATAGTTTATTTCGTTGTTATTACAAAATCTAATTTGTATGTTTTAAAATAATTAATTTCATATGACGATATGAATAATATTATTGATTTTTTTTTTCAGTTTTAGAAATGTTTAAGTAGATCAATAAAGGGTTTTCGTATTCTATGTGGACGCAACGTCTATAGATTAGCAAATTGAATGCAATGTTTCAATTAGACTATATTTGCCGCTGCTCACAATAGTTGATGTGCAATGATCCCTCAAAAATGAAAATTATAAATTTTCTTATGCTCATGTGAATTTTGCAATGTTCTCTCGTTTAGTTCAAAAACGATATATATCCATGTTAACATGGTTAAATCTTCCAGTTGCGAGTCAAACAATTCTATAAGCTTGGTGATCGATATAGGGGAAATTTCAAAACTACATTTTTTATGTGTCAATTTTCAAACTATATTTTTATAGTGTTTATTTTCAAAACTACACGTAAAAGAACTCTAAACCCCAAAATATAAAATTTAAAACCTAAAATCTAACCTTGAACCCCTAAATCTAAATCCTAAACCCCAAAGTCTAAATTCTAGTCAAGGATTAGCGAACCCAAATATATATTAGGAAAAAATGTATTTTTGAAAATTGTCATAGTAGAAGTGTAGTTCTAAAAATTTACAATTCAAGAAGTGTATATTTCTTAAAATTTCTAATTGATTATATAGTTATATACTGAACTATTTATGTCTTTTTATAGTGTGATCATGGGTATTTATGGGGTGTCAAAGATAAAGAAAATATGTGGGGTTTATTTGAAGTTTTGACAAAATTTCAAGGGCCAAATTTTGGACGTGTCAGAAGAAAAATAAACATTTTGGCTGTAAACTAATTTCTGGTTAAATGCAAAAACCATATAATAATAATAATAATCGCATTCATGTGAAATTTGTATCAAGAATAAAAGAAAAAAGAGAAGGAAAAATTCAGTCATATGAATTTAAAGTCGTGACCTTTAAAGGTGTCTACGGAGGTTAACACCGCCGTCTCCGGTATGAAACCAATGTCTCCGCCTGCAGAATCAGATGCCTCTGCCGGTAAACTTTCTCCCCATTGCAGAGTGATTCCACCATCACTCTGAAGAAGTTAGTGGAATCTCAAGTAACCTCAATAGGATTGGTTTTGTTTGCAGATTTCCTCGATAACGATAGACTACAAGAAACTCTCTCCAGTGGAGAACTTGATTTCGATGATTGGACTTTGTTAATCTCCGAAATAGAGACTTCGTTCCCAGTAAGTCAAAATTAGGATCTTGTTCAAGTTTCTCAAAACTTCTGGAAAACTAAAAATCGTTGAAAACTTGCTATATTGTAGGATGATATTGAGAAGCTAGGTTTAGTTTACGATGCTTTCCTGTTGGAGTTTCCATTGTGCCATGGCTATTGGAGGAAATATTCATACCATAAGATAAAGTTAAGCACTTTAGAAGATGCTGTTGAAGTTTTCGAACGAGCAGTACAAGCAGCTACTTATTCTCTACCTCTATGGCTCGACTATTGCGGTTTCGGTGTTGCTGCGTTTGAGGATCCTCATGATGTTAGTAGGTATTTCTGAATTTTGGGTTAGTCTTTTTGTTTGTTCTTTGAGTAACCATTTACTGAACAAGATTTTTGCTGGCAGATTATTTGAGAGGGGGCTTTCATTTGTTGGAAAAGATTATTCTTGCTGCGCTCTATGGGACAAATATATAGAGTTTCTTTTGGGTCAGAAGCAATGGAGTTCACTGGCTCATGTGTATCTCCGGACCCTGAGATATCCATCCAAGAAGCTGCATTTCTATTACAAGAAGTATGTCCTTTTTACAGATGATTGTCCTATTATGAAAGTTATGATTTTTCTGATCCATTATACTTTTTTACAGCTTCAGGAAGGTTGCAGCTTCTTTGAAAGAGAAGGTTAGTTGCAGAATAGATGTTAACGGAGACCTTTCTTCAGACCACATGGAAGAAGATTTGATCCCTACACGTCACACTGATGAGGAGATCTCTGTTGTTATAAGAGACTTGATGGGTCCTTCCTCCAGCTCGGCTGTGTCAAAAGCACTGCATGCGTATCTGTCAATTGGAGAACAGTTCTATCAAGATTCACAGGAGTTGATGGAAAAAATAAGTTGCTTTGAGACGCATATCCGCAGGCCCTATTTTCATGTAAAGCCGTTGGATACTGATCAGCTGGACAATTGGCATGCGTATTTGAGCTTTGCTGAAACATATGGGGACTTTGATTGGGTATGAGTATTTCTTGGCGAGTTTGGCTCTTGTTTCTTTGTTGTTTTATATCCAAAACTTGTTTCTTTATTAACTGCAGGCAATTAAGCTTTACGAGAGATGCTTAATACCATGTGCTAATTACACTGAGTTCTGGCTCCGATATGTGGATTTTGTTGAGAGCAAGGGTGGAAGGGAGCTAGCAAACTTTGCGTTGGCTCGAGCATCCCAAACTTTTGTCAAGGTAAATGGGATACAATTGCTTTAGTGTATCCAAACAAATGGGAAATGAACACATTATTCGTTTGATGCCCTTTGTATGTTCGCTGTAGGATGCATCTGTTATCCATCTATTCAATGCAAGATTCAAGGAACACGTTGGAGATGCATCTGCTGCTTCTGTTGCTCTGTCTAGATGTGGCGAGGAACTTGGTTTTGGTTTCGTTGAAAATGTAACCAAGAAGGCTAACATGGAAAAGCGTCTGGTATGGGTGATACACTACTCGGTACCATTTTGAGTTTTTGATGAGTTAGTGAGTGGTTGAGAATTATTTATTATGCCGTGTTCCATGAAGGGTAACTTTGAAGTGGCTGTTACTACATACAAAGAGGCTCTGAAGAGAACACTCATTGGAAAAGAAAACTTAGAAACCACCGCACTGTTGTATGTCCAATTTTCTCGTCTCAAGTACATGGTAAGTAATGTTTTGACCCATATGAAGCTCTGTATATAATGATATTGTGGAACTCTTTTACCTGACGGCTTACTTCTTATATTCTTAGATAACAAACAGTGCTGATGAGGCAGCTCAGATTCTGATAGAGGGCAATGAGAAAGTTCCTCACTGCAAATTACTTCTTGAGGTGCGTTATTGGATGGATGTTTGATTTACTTCATACTGTACATTTGGAAGACATGTATTTCCTCTTCAGTTCTATAAGCCTCTATAAACATTTTGAAGCTTCAATCACTGTTAATATTTGTTCGAGCAGGAGCTTATAAGACTCTTGATGATGCATGGAGGGTCTCGACAAGTGGATTTGTTAGATCCTATCATAGATAAGGAAATATCTCACCAGGCAGATTCCTCCGAAGTTCTGAGCGCAGAGGATAAAGAGGACGTATCAAATTTATACATGGAGGTAACGTTTCTTTTAACAGATTAGAGAATCAATGGTCTTCTTGCTTGTGGCCATTCCTATTTCATTTTTTTTATTCAGTTCTTGATCGCATAGAATGTGTTTGATACTTAGTGCTCTCGTCTTTGAGCAGTTTATTGACCTCTGTGGAACCATCCATGATGTGAGGAAAGCTTTAGGACGACACATAAAATTATTCCCACATTCCGCTAGAGCCAAGTCACATGGGCCTCGTCCTTTAGGGAAATCATTCAGAGAGTTGATTAAGAGAAGAGAGAAGGCTCGTGTGTGCTTGAATGAGGACATATCAATGGACAAAGGCATTGGCAGCACCGTTGTTTCGCCACCGGAAGAAAAGAAAGAGTCACCTCTAGACTCTGATGGTGCCGTTCGTTCTCACTGTTCAACCAGTGAAGGAAACAATAATGATGCAGAGAGGAAGAATCTATGTGACTCACAGAGTGATCTGTCCTGTGGTGCACGCTCTCGTGAAGTAAGCCTACCGATCCAAGCCACGGAAAAACATGGTTTTGTCGCTAAACAAGCTCACTTCTCGTCAAGTTTAGCAGATACTGTGAAATCTGATGCTATAGAGATCCAACCTAGTGGCTCAAGAAGTCCCAATAGTTACCAAAGCCAAGAGTCTCTCAGGCAAGCTGGTCGTAACAGGAATTATAGAAGAGATTTCAACCAGAGTCATAGAGATTCGAGACCTCGCTCACACGAGAGACCTTCCCGAATGTCACATTCTCCAGCAGGAACCGGGCGGGGGATGTTTGGTCAGCAGATGGTTGTTGCCCTACAAAGCTCAGTCTCACATAATCCGCAAAACCAGAGTCAGTCTCAGTACACTGCATCTCAGATGCATCCCATGGCTCAAACATCCAATGCTTATCATCCTCAAACCCAGAGTCTTGTTCAGCACATGAATGTAGCTTCTTCAGACAATCCAGCAACAGTTCAAAGCTCAATCTCACAAATGCCACAGAACCAATATCAAGACTCTGCATCTCATGTTCAAACATCATTTGCTTATCCTTATCCTCAGGCTCAGATTCCTCAGAATACAGTCCAAAGTAATGACCAACAACAAGGTCAGATGCAGAGCAATGAAGCTTATAACCAGATGTGGCAACAGTATTACTATTACAATTACTACTACCAGCAGCAACAACAGCAACAGCTTCTGTCTGAACAACCACAACTGAATCAGAACACTCAGCCAAAACTAGATCAAAATCTTGCTCAACTTCTCTCCAACCAATACCAATCCCAAACCGGCACTCAGTATCCACAAGTCAATACACAGCAGCAACAGAGCCAAGAACCAACAAATCAGCAGCAAATTCAGTTCCAGCAACAACAACAACAACAAGAGTGGTTTCAACAGCAGCAACAATGGCAACAACAGCAACAGCAACAGAATCTTCTCTACTTTCAGCAACAGCAGCTACAAGGAGAAGCAAAGATTGACGAACAGAGACCATCAGTGCCACAAGTCTACACAAACGAAAGTGATATTCAAAAGGTTTGCTTCAGAAACAAAACTTGATTTGCTTCTTTTGTTTATCATCTTAAGCGGTTTACTAAGAACCTGTGCTCTTCTTGTAGAGTCGAGAATCTGGAGGAAATGAAGTTGATCACTCTTCTGACACCTCAATTAGTTCTATATGAATCTCATGAAGGCATAATTCTATCACTTTCATGCAAAGTAAAACCTGAGATTATTTCAGTGGACGAAACTGAACTAATTTAAATATTTTAGTATATTTTCGTAATTTTTGCGCCTTTTTCTTTTTTTTTCTGCTTTCTTTTCTGTTTTGTCTGAAATCTAGAAAAGAATCTAAAAACAAAAAATTTAAAATTCGAGGGCTTGAACACGCGTCAAATTATGTGGGTGAGTCGTCCAGCTGGTTAAAAGTATAAACGTGTTGGTTTTCTATTGGATTAGAAGCGCCCACCAAAGGAACAAATCGTAGCCGTCGATTAGATCCAGCAAGAGCCGTCATAATTCTGTATTGACCGTTCGTGGAAGTTATGTGAGAGAGAAAGAAACCCAGAGAGAGAGCACAAGTAGAGACCACAAAACAAAAGAGAAAAGAGAAGAAGCTCTCTCTCTCTCTCTCTCTCTCTCTCTCTGGTCGGTCTTCGTCTCCTTCTTTCTCCAAATTCGATCGCTTTTCTTCTTCTTCTTCCTCTTCATTTCCTGTAAAATTTTGTTTGATTTTATATTTTTGTTTTCTTCTGTGCTGTTTGACTTTCGATTTCTTAATTCCGTGCTTCGTTTTTGCTTATTTCGACGTGAATTGTTGGATTTGTTGAGTAAAACCTTTCATTTTTTTTTCATCCAGATTTTCTGGAAGATTTTTCCTTGGTTTTCAAATTGTGCTGGAATAGAGTTTGAATTTGTGAATTTTCTTATCGGTTTTGGTTTCGATTAGCTGTTCTTTGGTAAGTTTTCATTTGAATTATGTTTATTGTTTAAATTTCGATTCTGCCGAATTAGCTCATGTTCTTAAACTTTTTGTTTTGTTTTGCTATCGAATCATTCGTAGCGATTACTTGATTCGATGTTACTTTATCTCTAGAATTCTAGCTGTAGACTTGTAGTGAAAGCATGTAGCTTTGATTTTGTTTATCTGATTGATTTGCTTAAATCTCGACTGAATCTGGAAAAATAGACTTATTGTGAATCTTAATTAGGTTATCTCTGTGTAGGATTCTGGGTTTGCTATTTCTGATAGTTGACTTTTGGGCTTCTCGATTTTGTCTCAGAGATTTCCCCTTTGGTTCTGTGTAGATCCTTTTCCTCTGGATTTTGGATTTGATTATGCAATTGACTGATTGTGATGGGCTCTGTTTTGCAGCATCTGTGGTTGGCTTGATCCTTGAGTAAGGTCTCGTTGCACGTCTAATTCGAGATACAGAGCCAATGCCATATATAGAAATGAAGAGCAAAATAAGCAAGGTTCTTGGCGTCTGTAAGAAACATAAAGCAACTACAAGAAACTCGTGCTCTCTTTCCAAACTTTCCAAAGTATCAGAGCGCGTGCAAGGCGTGAACACAGCTACTCATACCTGCCACGACGATGAGAAGCAGAATATTGGTAAAGCTTTCTCCGTGTATAAGTATTTTGCTCATATGAGCTAATTCTTTTCGTGTCATGTCTTCTTTGGTTTCCTTCAGTCTGATGATTTGTGCCAGTTTCTTCAGGTTTGGATACTTTTGCTCGGGATAGTGAAACCAATGAGTCCGCTGAAATGCTTGTCGAAGACAATTCTCAGTGTCAGTCTCAGTCTCAGTCTCAGGCGTTTTCATCTTCCGTTGGTGGTTCTGAATCTGTCGACAAAACGGTAAAGATTTGGCATATGTAGCTTACTTTCGATTATCCTTCCTTCCACAGATACTAAGACGAACAAACTCTATTGTGGACCATACAGGAAAATGCTTGCAATTATATGTCAAACTCGGATACAATATTCTCACCTGTTCTTAACGATGAACTGAATGGAACTGATCGAGGTATTTGTTACTGGTGCACTTTTCGATCTAAAGTCTTCCTTTGTTTGATTTAGTCATAAATCTAATAGATTTCTTTTCATCAGTGTTTACGGCAGGAAACTCTGTGAACTGGGAAATTCCGAGGTGGGGAGGCGACGAGAGCAGCAACAAGATTTGCTTTGACAACCAAACGTGCAACGTTTCTGATTTCTACATCTCTGACGTTCTTATTGCGAGCTTACCGTTTGATGAGAGTGGGAACAACGATGCTTTCGCCGAAATAAGCCCTTTGCCTCATTACATCTTCCCTGAGCAGTACATGATACTGCCTTACTTAGAAGATGGATCAGCCAACACAGATGATGTTAAGTCAGATGTTGACAGCAGGATTCATCTTGACAACCATGACTTATTTCTGGCATTCAACAGGACGAGATCACACACTGTGCAACCAGAGGATCATGCTGAGTCTGAACAAGCTGAAGAGTTTGATCCTCAACTTTTTATAAGGAATCAGCCGGAGTTATCGGATGTTGTATCCAACTATTGGCCTAGGGATAACCTAAGAAAGAAGGCTGTGACCCTTGTCCTTGATTTGGATGGTATGACTTCTCTTTTAACAATTATTGAGTCTGACTTGTCCTGTCATGGTAGTCCTTATCATACAGTTGTTTCTTGACTCTATGTCCTTATTAAATCATATTGGTACTGAATGTGATTTGAATTGTTTCTTCATTTTGATTGGTTCATTATCATTGGTTGTATGATTGAAATTCTAAGCGTGGTTTTGCCCTTTGCAACTCTTTTTTGTTGATGAGGAAATATGGGGAACCATTTTATTGATTTTGTACTGTTAAATTTGTCAGTTTGTCTTACTCTAGAGGGGGATGCGCTGCTCAACTTATTAAATATCATTTTCTCTCAAATGCAGAAACTCTGGTCCATTCGAGTCTGGAATCATGCAATGTTGCAGATTTTTCCTTCAAAGTCTTTTTCAACATGCAAGAAAACACGGTCTATGTGAAACAGAGGCCACACCTGTACAAGTTCTTGGAGAGGGTGGTCGAGTTGTTTCATGTTGTTATCTTCACTGCAAGCCACAGCATCTACGCCTCACAGCTTCTCGATATATTGGACCCAGATGGAAAGTTCATTTCACAGCGTTTTTACCGCGACTCATGCATTCTTTCTGAAGGAATTTACACCAAGGACTTAACTGTTCTGGGTCTTGATTTGGCCAAAGTGGCTATCATTGACAACTGTCCGCAGGTACTTTATCTAGAGATCTGCTCATCGATCTTTAGCATTTTTCATCTGGTGGTGTTTCTTTGTATTTATTATACTCGCTTACTTAGTACACTATTACATAGTTTCATGAAAAGACACAACCATCAGCTTCAGTATGAAGAATATCTGTCTCATTACATATTTCAAGCTTTCTTGGTGTGTGCATATGCCCTTATCAGTTCCGTTTTGATCATTTAACTCGTCTTTGTTAATTGTTTCAGGTGTATAGATTGCAAATAAACAATGGGATCCCTATCAGAAGTTGGTATGATGATCCATCTGATGATGGTTTGATTTCTATACTTCCCTTCTTAGAGACTTTGGCTGTTGCGGATGATGTTCGGCCTATCATTGGCAGGAGATTTGGTAACAAGGAATAAGAGCTTCCTTCTCTTTTTCTCTATATACATCGAGTGCAGCTTCTGATTTCTTTCCTTTCGAATTTTAGTCATAAACTGGCCCTTAATTCTAGTTCCTCATCTCTTTTTAGGTCGTTAATTAGGTAACTAAATAATAAGCTCGTTGAGTCTAGTGAGAGTAAGTTTTCCTTGCTTGCTCGCTTTTTTAGAACCTTCTGAATAGAAGACCTAGTTGTGGACTTAAATCATATTGTTATACTGGTTCTTCTCTGCCAAGATAGATCCTAGATCTTGCAGTTACAAATGTACAGTTGGTTAAGCTGAGATAATATGAATGTGTACAAATGAGTTCTTATTGCGTGAAATCATGTCTTTCTCTTTGAACGTCTCTTATACTGTTACTGAAACTTGAAGTTCTTGCTTCAACTGGTAACATCCAAATCATCCAGCTTATATGGTTTCTTTTAAAGGTTATGAGCAAAGTTATTCCACTTTTCGCCTCTTGGCTCTGCAACATTCAGATAGATAATCATACTTCTGAGGTGGGAGGAATACTGAATATGCGACGATCGAGTCAGCTTCATGGTATATACATAGTCTATATAATCCTCGTAAAAGTTTACATAATCTTGCATGCCTTATGTGCAGATATCATCCAACGAAGTAACGAACCTTTAACTATATTATACGCTATAAGGAAATGACGAGTAAGTATGTTAAATCCATTTTTACTTGTCACTTTTTTATTGGTCTAACAAGCTTCCTTTTGCTTTTTGGTCTTTTGTTTCCTCCCTGTCTAACCTTGGTTGCCTAAAACCAAAGCCATGTATGTAATCTTTATACTAAACTGTTTCACAGTTTTGTTACTTGACCCAGTAGAAAACTTGTTTCTGTCTTCTGTTTCTCCACCATTGTTTCATGTAGATAACAAGGCTTAATTTAATACAGTCACAGATGATTATTTTTTACAACATTCACAGATGATTAGTAATATGTATATCTCAGTGTCAGCTAAAATTGTTAAATCAGTTTCTGAGGTTTGTTTGTTTGGTTCCTCCTTGGTTTTAAGTTTTAACATTTGTGGTTCTGTGATTGGGTTTAAGTTCATTAATGTGTTGTTGATCGTTAGTATTGTCCCGGAGTGAACTTTCCTGGAACCAGCAGTGCTCTGCTAAAAACCAATATCAGGCTCTCTGTTTGCCCATGAAGTAATATTTGCAACTGTTATAAAACTTTGTATAACATATAAAAAGATATCTGGAGTAGTATATGGACATTGTTGGCATGAATCATGATTTATAAACCTTTTTACAGTTAAAAAAAATCGTCAGTAGTCTTGACAAACCCTCCTTACAATCGTTCGACATTCGACTCTGATCACAGTAAGACCACTGGTTACATTAATTTGACAAAGAATGATTCTCAGTCAGACCGCGGTTCTTGTCTGGTTTCGAAACCATTTCCTTAAAAAAAGTACAAAAATTCAATAAGTCGCATATGTGATATATTATATATGACACGAGAGACGACCATCAGAAGTCAAATACTTCCATATCGTCTAGAGTCTTTCACCAGAGATAAACCTCGTCATTATCATCCATACACCATTGCAACTGAAGTCTAGAAAGAGAAGATATGCTGCTGAGAGCTTCTTCGCTACTCTGTTCTTCGACCTCTGTCACATTCACACCAATTCAACTACTCAATCCGAATATTTCTCCTCATTTCCAAACCTTGGAAGTATCTCGTCCCGTCTCGGCTTTGTCTCGTGCCCGATGTCACTTCAGTTTCCTGGATGCTCGTGGAAAATCCAGCTTCATCGTTCGTAGCACTGGTAATTAAGATTGTTATTTTCTTGGGTTTATTTGAAACTATACTGCAAATTTTCGGGTTTTTGAAAGTCTTCAGCTACTGGATTGTCGAATAAATATTTGATTTTATTTTGTTTGTTTGTAGAAGAAAAGGGTTTCTTTAATTCTTATCTCGTTTTGTGGTTTGGGTTGCTCATTCTTGTTCTTATATTCATAAATCTCTTCTTATTTTTCCTTGTGAAATTTGTTTACTTTGTTTGGTGTTCGATATAATTTCTTTCCAAGCTGTGGAAACGGGATTATTTGAATTGATCTTATTGGCTCTCTCGTGTTCTTTGATTTTCAGCTACTCAGGAAGTTGTGGAGACCAGTAGTAACAGTGGACTGGACTTGGTTGAGGTTGGATTCTTGTCTGGTGTTCATGGCCTACAAGGAGAGATTTGCATCAAACCAAACACTGATTTTCCAGATTTACGCTTCTCTAAGGTAAAACCAATCATAGAAAAGAGAGAAACTTGTGGAAAGTTAGTGAATTTTCATTTTTCATTCTGAAGAAATCAAGAAAATTTATATCATTTGACATTGCGCTTCCATTGGCATGATTTTACTTACATTAGCCTGGTAGAAGATGGTTAAAACAACAACTGTTAGGACAAGACAAGATCGAAGAGGTCGAATTAGTCGAAGGAAGACCTCATCCTGCTCAGAAGAGTTGGATTCTCAAGTTTCAAGGCTTGGACGATGTTGATCAGGTAGTAACTGAATCATTTAAGATCTGATTGAGTCAATTTGTCATATTTGAATTTTGGCGGGTATGCTTCAGGTGAGACAGCTCGTTGGAGCAACTCTTCTTGCTGAGGAAGACGATCGTCCTGAGCTTGACGAAGGAGAGTTTTACACTCGTGATCTTATAGGCATGAGAGTTCTTCTCAAGGTGTGCATATTATTGGATCTGCCTCTTATTATCGAAAAATGTGATAGTTCTCTGGTTTAAATCAGTTATATATTTTATACAGGAGACTGGTCAACTTGTTGGAACTGTTGATAATGTTTTTGACAATGGAGGAAACGATCTTCTACATGTCTTGCTTGATTCATCCATGGAAGTTTCCAATGGGAATAATACAAAGACGAACCAGCTTGTGTGGATACCTTTTGTAGATGCAATTGTCCCCGACGTTGATATGGAGAGAAAGGAGATGTATATAACTCCTCCGAAAGGACTCCTCGAGGTGAATATGCGAGCAGATGAACGTTCCAAGAAAGAAAGGCGTCAGCTTGTGAGGCATATTCTTCTTCTGCGCTCTTATAATATTGATCAGTTTTTCTATATAGATCTTTCTTGGTCTCTGAAACTGTACGTTTTGGTCATTTTCAGGAGTGGAAAGAAAGAAAGAAACAGCAGAAGCGGCTTCTTGCTGCTAAAAAGAAGTTATGTGAATTGGAGCAGAAGCATGTGTTTGATGGATTAAGGTTCGGAGAAAAGTCTCAACGGAATTTGCTTGCTGAGAATATCGTTGACGTTAACTCAACTCTGCTTCAGAAAGCTTTGCAAAGTATTGAGAATTCATCCAAGAAAAGGTAAATATAAGTCCCAAGAAATCTCCCAACCATTGTGATAACTGAAGTCTGTGTTCTCATCATATGAATCTTGATGAATTAGATGGAATGTGACTGAGGAAATCAACGCACTGAGAGCTAGAGTATCGGAATGTAATCTAAGTGTATCTCGCGAGTGCCTTAGTTTCGATGCAAGTAAAGAGAAAGTGGGTGCTAACTTCACTTTCCTTCAACAAGGGAAAAGTCTATTCTCGGAAGGAAAAGTATCTATCTGTTTGGCTCTCAGTGATCTTGAGAAAGAACATGTAGAAGAAGATAATGGTCCAGTCTCGTACCTTGTTACTCTACTTGATGATGAGCAGAGGTTCCCAAAGGTTAGCTGAAATCATGTCATTTTTAGTTATGCTTTCACTAGAAGATAACTGTTGGAAGATACATGCAGGAAGAAGAACGTTCTTGTGTGCCATTAGTCATAGTTTCTCCTGAACATGCTATTGAAGCTCTGCAGAAGCTTTTTCAGGATAATGATCATTTTGGATTTGAATCAGAAAAGGTTCAGTCTTTAGTTTCTCTCTCCAAGGATTGTTTTGCATTTTGGTTATCAGATCATATCAAGGCTTCTTCTAACAATACTCATGTTTTACTAATATCTAGATCTGGTTTCTGAAAGAAGAAACTCTTCCCGTAGTTTGTAGCTCACCGGAGGAACCGAAAAAGCACAAGATTTTGATGAAATCGCCATGGGAGATACTTAAGTCTCCGGTTGGCTCTGGCGGAGTCTTGAGCATCCTTGCTTCACATGGAGTCACAGAATCTCTTTCCAGCCTAGGAATCGATTATCTTCAGGTATCAGTATCTAAAAACATATTCAGAAAAGTTTGTTCCTTTGTGATTTTGGTGAAAAAAAAAGCATTAAACTTTAAGATGTTTGCGTCTTCATTAGGTACACAGCATCGAAACAAAGTCGCAAGATTTGCAGCATTGCATCAGTCCGATGCTTGCTGGATTCGTGAGCGCAAAAGAAGCAGAGATTGGGATCCAGGTGGCAGGAGAATCTGAAGTCGAGAACTTGGAAATGATATTCTCGGTGAAGTTTCTGAAGAGATTGAAGGGTAAAATTGAGTTTGACGCCGTTATGAAGATGAATTCACATGTTCAGAAGGTTGAAAACGAGTGGGTCGAGTCGGTCCCATCAAAGCCAAACTCGTTTGCGTTTCGTTCTGATATTTACAGAGTTTTGAGTGAATGTTCTTCTTCACCAGCTAAGATTTGTTTGATGAACATCACAATGTAGAACATGTAAAGTAGATATATTAAAATGGGTACTCAATATTTTTCGATTTACAACAAAAAGTATTGAATATTAAAAGTGGTCAGTTTTTTCACAAGCTTCTTTCACAAAATAATTCTTAAATCACCGATTTAAAACCAACAAACACAAGTTCATGTTTTTACAAACTTAAATAACTACATCTCAAAGAATTTAATTATTGATTGTTATGATTGTGATGTCTTGAGTTAGAGTTATAATTATGATGTTATCCACGCTAGTCTATTTTAAAAATCATAGTTGACTTGCTTAGCATTTTATAATTGTTTGGAACTTCGACAAGGTGATTTATAATTATGATCTAAGACATTTAGCACACTTACAATGTGGTTGCTAATGGTTGTCCTCCTACTGTAGAGTTTACCGAATGTTTATCATCTTCCACTGATGGCTATAGCCAGATTGTGGTTCTGCAATCTAAAAAAGCATGATAAATTGGAATCAGTATCATACAATTATCAAATGTTAAAAACAATTTTTTTTTTGAGGATTCTTGCCATAGTCTGAGTTCTTCTATCTCCTCTAGTCTATTTTTTTTTTGTTTTTGTTTTTTTTGTTTGCAATAAGTTTACATATAAAAATTATTTTGTCAAAGATCTGAAAATTGATATTTTAAAAGAAAACAGATTTGCATACATGGGTTAATAAAAAAAAAACAGAGGTAAATAAAAATTATATACATATGATTCTCTCGTCTTTTTTTTTTTCCTTTTTAATGCAAATAGATGATAGAACAAATTAGTGAAATATTCCACAATTTAGTGAAATAGAGATGATAGATGAGCAATCATTCATCTTCAATATGATAGAGGAAAAATTATCAACATAATTGTTAACAAATTCAATTATTTCTAGCACAATAAGTGGAATTGTTTTTCACTAATTTTTATTACAAATGGTAAAATTTATTAGAAAATTCTTTAACAATTTTTTTATAATAAAAATACGTAATTCTACAAAATTTTGTTCATCTAGAAATGCATGCATAGTCTTTTTTTTGGTTAAATGTTTTCTTACTCTTTTTTTTTGACGTAAATGTTTTCTTACTTATTCCTTTTCGTTTTACAGATCGCTAATTATAGGCAGGCTCACATGTCTAAATTTCAAAAATGCCCATACGATTATTAATTTCTCTAGTTCCTTACAGTTTTAAAGCCTGGAAGAGAAATTCTATTGGGCCAAAACGTGAGCCCAATTCGTGCGGCAATCAAAAACCCTAGATAACGCCTATAAATTGTTTTTTCTTCTGATAACAGCGTCGCCTTTGAGATCTTACGAAGGAGCAAAAATGGCCGTCCCGTTGCAAACCAAGAAGATCGTGAAGAAGAGGTCTGCCAAATTCATCAGACCCCAGAGTGATCGCCGCATCACTGTCAAGGTAACCACTTTCGTCTTCTTTTCATTGTTAAAGTTTTCACCTTTTTTTCTTATGCGTATTCCTGGAATTTTGTTGCTGTTCTTCACTTTCTATAGACTGATAGCTTTACTCTTCTGGAAAATTTAGCTTAGATGCTTACCAAATGGTAGATTTTCGATTACAAATGGTAGATTTTCGATTCTGTTATTTCTCTGGACTTGGTTAGATTCAAGATTTAGTTGATGCTGTTTAGCTGGAAAAGATGCGATGTTATTGATTTTTTTCAATCTTGGTTATTTCCATTTTCCATCTGAATATGCCCTCTGGTATCTGGTGGCCAGAATTTAAACTAATGTTTCTGGTCACTTCGTTTTTCAAGGGCAGAAAGTGAAACTCCTACAGATCTTGCGACACAGTTTGCTTTTGTTATGATAAGCTCACTGTTACTTTAAACTCTGTTGACATATTTCCTTTCTCTAAAAATTCATTTCTGTATTGGTTCTTTAGTTCTCACCGACATGGTTTTTATTTGTTTCTTTATTTCAGGAAAGCTGGAGGAGGCCAAAGGGTATTGATTCCAGAGTCCGTAGGAAGTTCAAAGGTGTCACTTTGATGCCCAATGTCGGTTACGGATCTGACAAGAAGACCCGTCACTATCTTCCCAATGGCTTCAAGAAGTTCGTTGTCCACAACGTTAATGAGCTCGAGCTACTCATGATGCACAACAGGTACATATATTTAGTTATACATCTGTATATATTTACTTATACATCTGACAGATTATAGAACAAATTCTCATGGTCTGTTTGTTGCTTTTGTTTGTTGCTCTTCAGGACTTACTGTGCAGAGATCGCTCACAATGTGTCCACAAAGTTGAGGAAATTCATTGTGGAGAGAGCTGCTCAGCTAGACATTTGCGTTACCAACAAGCTTGCTAGGTTGCGTAGCCAGGAAGACGAGTGAACTAAGCTCTAGTGTTGCTTTTTATTTATCGTTTGACAGTTTCAAGTTTATTATTACTTTTTATTTTTGCGTACTGAAGATTGTGTCTGAATGTTTTTATGGTTTCTTGTTTAAGGATATGATCAATTCTCAGAATCTATTATTCTACATTCCAATGTTACTTGCAAATTCACACTTTTGTCTTCATATTTTTAAAAACATTCGATCAAATTTTGTCTGATTAAGCGCTCCTTATCAGACCTTGTAGGCAATCCGATCGAATTCGTCAGGAATGTCAAACCTTTTCTAACTACGGAAATGTGTAAATTGCTGAATTGAATCTTCACTTACAAGTAAATCAAATTGACAAAATGAAATGGCAACGTTTTGTGGCTTCGTTGGAATATCCGTATATTGTTTATTGTTTATTCGCTTATGTGCCTGTTGCAGAAAATGGGGAGTGGCGCCATTTTTCAACGATTGAGATTTCGAGCTCTCTCCTCCTCGTGCTTCTATGGGAGATGCAACAAGAGTTTCTCTGTTGCGATGGAGCTCCGGAATTGCGAAGTTTCGATATGTGATCACTTGCGGAACCGAAGACTCGACGAGGCTCGAGTGATTTTCAATGAGGTTCCATCTCCTCATGTGAGTCTTTACACAAAGATGATCTCTGGGTACACGAGGAGTAACAGATTGGTTGATGCGTTGAATTTGTTCGACGAAATGCCTGTGACTGTGAGAGATGTCGTCTCGTGGAACTCGATGATCAGCGGATGTGTTGAGTGTGGGGATATGGATACCGCAGTGAAGCTGTTCGATGAAATGCCTGAGAGAAGCGTTGTTTCGTGGACGACGATGGTGAATGGGTGTTTTAAGTCCGGTATGGTTGATCGAGCTGAGAGGTTGTTTTATCAAATGCCTTTGAAAGATATTGCAGCTTGGAACGCAATGGTTCATGGGTATTTGCAGTTTGGTAAAGTAGAAGAGGCCTTGAAGCTGTTTAAGGAGATGCCTCGGAAGAATGTGATTTCGTGGACGACGATGATCTGTGGGTTAGACCAGAATGAGATGAGTGGAGAAGCTCTCGTTTTGTTTAAGGATATGTTGAGCTGTTGCATTAAATCGACTTCAAGAACGTTCGCTTGTGTAATCACAGCCTGTGCAAATGCTCCAGCTTTTCATATGGGTACACAAGTTCATGGCTTCGTCATCAAGTTGGGGTTTTTATATGAGGAATATGTATCTGCTTCGCTCATAACGTTTTATGCAAACTGCAAAAGAACAGAGGAGTCTCGGAAGGTGTTTGAGGAGAAGGTTCAAGACCAAGTTGCTGTATGGACTGCTCTATTGTCAGCGTATAGTCTGAACAAAAAGCACGATGATGCGCTAAGTGTTTTCTCTGAGATGTTAAGAAACAATATCTCACCAAATCAATCGACATTTGCTAGCGGATTAAACTCTTGCTCTGCTTTGGGATCATTGGATTGGGGTAAGGAGATGCATGGAGTTGCGGTGAAACTTGGTTTAGGAACTGATGCCTTTGTAGGTAATTCTCTCGTTGTCATGTACAGTGACTGTGGAAATGCAAACGATGCTGTGTTGGCGTTCACAGAAATCTTGAAGAAGAGCACTGTCTCGTGGAATTCCATTATTGTTGGCTGCGCGCAGCACGGGCATGCTAAATGGGCTTTTGTGATATTCGGTCAAATGATTCGCTTGAACAAAGAGCCAGATGAGATCACTTTCACTGGCTTACTCTCTGCTTGTAGCCATTGTGGGTATCTACAGAAAGGGAAAAAGCTGTTTGATTACATGTCAAGCGGACCAAATCATATTGATAGAAAGATTCAACACTACACTTGTATGGTAGATATCTTGGGAAGAAGCGGGAAACTGAAAGAGGCAGAGGAGCTTATCGAGAGCATGGTTGTGATACCTAATGAAATGGTTTGGTTGGCTTTACTCAGTGCTTGTAGGATGCATTCTGATGTAGACAGAGCCGAGAAAGCTGCTGCTGCTATTTTTAATCTGGACTCGAAATCAAGTGCGGCTTATGTCTTGCTGTCGAACATATATGCTTCTGCTGGTAGATGGTCGAATGTATCGAGATTGAGAGTTAAGATGAAGCAGAAGGGGATAATGAAGAAACCTGGGAGCAGTTGGGTTGTGTTTAGAGGGAAAAAGCACGAGTTTTTCTCTGGTGATCGACCAGATAGCTTGGTTATATATGAGAAGTTGGAGTTTCTGAGAGACAAGTTGAAGGAACTTGGCTATGTTCCTGATTACAGATCTGCTTTACACGATGTTGAAGACGAACAGAAAGAAGAGATGTTGTGGTATCACAGTGAGAGGCTTGCTCTTGCGTTTGGGTTGGTTAATACAGTTGAAGGAAGTAGTGTCACAGTTATGAAGAATTTACGGGTGTGTGCAGATTGTCACTCAGTGTTCAAGCTGATCTCAAGAGTTGTGGAACGTGGGATTGTTTTAAGAGATTCGACTCGGTTTCATCATTTTAGGAATGGAATGTGTTCTTGTGGGGATTATTGGTAGAAACTTTGACTAGTGATGCGAGAAACTCTAAATATTAATGCAAGGATAAAAAACTCTAAATGAGGTTATGAGTTGTGTGATTAAGTCACGAAACAGTCCAAAAGAAGAAACTCCCGTCAAGTTGCACCAGAGATGTGTTAGAAACAGTGATGCTGTTGCTAGATACCACTCTGCTACTGCTCTTGATATTATATGTGCAATCCATTGGGTTTCATAACATCCACGGCGAGCTCTCACTGCTTTCTGATTTTTTTTTGGAATCAGGCTATCGGTGCAATTCTCTATGGCTTCTTCTTCTTCGTCTTCATGCTCTTTTGGCAATTGGTTATATGACTTTTTTCCAAGCTTCCCAGGAGAAGATGTCCGTAAGACATTCCTCAGCCACTTTCTAAAGGAGCTGGATCGGAAATTGATCAATTCTTGACAACAAGATCCCGAGAAGCCTATCTCTCGATCCCGAGCTTAAACATGCGATTAGGAATTCGAGAATTGCTGTGGTCGTGTTTTCCAAAAACTACGCCTCTTCAAGCTGGTGTCTAAATGAGCTGCTGGAGATTGTGAAATGCGAGAAAGAGTGTGGTCAAGTGGTGATACCCATTTTCTACCGTTTGGATCCTTCCAACGTGAGAAAACAAACCGGAGACTTTGGCAAGATCTTCAAGAAGACATGCCAAAATAAAACTAAGGTGGAGAAAATTTGATGGCAGGGAGCTTTGACTGGTGTAGCTAATATCCTCGGATATCATATTGTCACCTGGTACGGATTTAAGAGAGTCATCATTGTTCTTTGTTTAACAAACATATTATTTCATTGACTCTTAAATAATCTTTTTCCTTGTTAGGGCTAACGAAGCAAGCATGATCGAAGAAATCGCCAATGATGTTTTGGGTAAACTGAATTTATCTCCATCAAATGATTTTGAGGATTTTGTTGGTATAGAAGATCATATCACAAAGATGAGTTCACTGTTGCACTTGGAATCCAAGGAAGTGAGCATCAACAATTTGATTCAAAAACACATCATAACCCGAACAAGAATTGTATTTGTCAATCGATTTTCTTTGTGATTATAAAAAGGGAGAAGCTGTTAGCGAATATGAATGGTAAGTATTACGCGACAAAAACTATTTTATAGAATGATTTGAATCATTATTACGATAAACAAGAAACTATTTTACATAATGATTCGAGTGTATTTTTTTCTGCAGAATATGATGAGAAGAATCAAGAAACTACTGACTTGCTTTAAACTTAAAGCGCAAGATACATAGGAGGATGTCACCTTGAGTCTTTGACTGTGAAACTCTTCCCCTTTTTTAGGTAACACAAATCAATCTTCCCTACGTACTTGCGACTAGATTTAGGCATAACGAAGCATAAATAATGGAATCACTACTAAGTAATGATGTTTAGTTACTTTTGTGTAAGTTGAATAAACTCCATCAATAAAAAATATAAATTAGGGAAACTTCTTACCTGTGACTAGGATTAGGGATAAGAAGCAGGAACATTTACGTAAGCAATGATATTTATCTTTGTCTAAATAATTTGAATCTGATGCAATTATCCTAAAAAAATAATGTTAAGGTTATAGAAAATTAATTCATGTGATGACTGATTGACTGATGACTTGAGGCATAAGTTCTTTCACTTCTTTGAGTTACTTCTCTGTAATAGTCTAATTAGATATCTGCTTCCTCTTCAATAAACTTGATTTGTTTTTTTCTCTGAATATATTTTGGATCAACTCTTCGATCTCTCTTAATCGTTCCTTCTTCTTCTTTCAGTTTAACTTTCACTACAACGACAAGGACATGCGTTGACTTCTTTTGAGTCTCTCCACTCAGTTACAAACTGTTGTCCTTCAACTTGTGTTTCGGTTCAGCAAACACAGTTCGTTTGTAATCTGATGGCTTCTCCTTCTTCTTTCTCATCTCCTCGTAATTGGGTATACGACGTTTTCCCAAGCTTCAGCGGAGAAGACGTCCGCGTGAATTTCCTCAGCCATTTTCTAAAGGAGCTTGATCGGAAGTTGGTTATCGCTTTCAAAGACAACGAGATCAAGAGAAGCCAATCTCTCGACCCCACACTTAAACAAGCGATTAGGACTTCAAGGATTGCGGTGGTTGTGTTTTCGGAAAAGTACTCATCTTCCAGCTGGTGCCTCGACGAGTTGCTGGAGATCGTGAAATGTAAGGAAGAATCTGCTCAAATGGTTATACCCATTTTCTACGGTTTAGATCCATCTCATGTCAGGAAACAAACCGGAAAATTTGGAGAGGCTTTTGCCAAGACTTATGAGAGAAAAACAGAGGATGAAACAAAGCTTTGGCGGCAATCGTTGATCCAAGTAGCAAATCTCCTTGGTTATCATTCTCAAAACTGGTAAACAACTTCTTACATATATTTTCTTTGTTTTTATAGACCTTGACATGTGACGATTGATTAATTGTTGTTTCGTATGTGTGAAATGATCTTTCACATCTTGTTAGGCATAACGAAGCAAAAATGATTGAAGCGATTGCCAATGATGTCTTGGATAAACTGAATTTGTCTCCATCTAAAAATTTGAGGACTTTGTTGGAATGGAAAATCATATTTCACAGATGAGTGTCTTATTGGATTTAGAATCTGAAGAAGTGAGGATGGTTGGGATATGGGGCTCATCTGGAATTGGCAAGACTACCATTGCAAGAGTTTTATACAGTCAACTCTCTCGTCGGTTCCAAGGTAGTGTTTTCATAGACAAAGCTTTTGTCTCCAAGAGTATGGAACTTTATAAAAGCTCTAACTCGGACGACTACAACATGAAGTTGCATTTGCTGAGAAGTTTTTTGTCTGAAATCTTAGACCAAAAAGATATAAGGATAGATCGTTTAGATTCAGTTGAAGAGAGGCTAAAGCACCGGAAAGTTCTCATCTTTATTGATGATTTGGATGATCAAGTGGTGTTAGATACTTTAGTTGGTCAGACTCACTGGTTTGGTTGTGGGAGCAGAATTGTTGTGATTACAAAAGATAAACATTTTTTAAGGGCTCATGGGATTGATCATATTTATGAGGTATGTCTCCCATCTGAAGAGCTTGCTCTTGGAATGTTCTGTAGATCTGCTTTCAAGAAAAACTCTCCACCTGATGGTATGATGGAGCTTGCTTCTGAAGTTGCATTGCTTGCTGGGAATCTTCCTTTGGGTCTTAAGGTTTTGGGATCTTATTTACGAGGTAAGGACAAAGAGGATTGGATGGATATGATGTCTAGCCTTCGTGACAGGCTGAATGGAAAAATTGAGAGAACATTAAGAGTCAGCTATGATGGGTTAAATAACAGAAAAGATGAAGAGATATTTCGTCACATTGCATGTCTCTTCAATGGCGCAAAGCTCAGTGAGATCAAACTCTTACTAGCTGATAGTGACTTGGATATTAATACCGGGCTGAAAAACCTAGTTGATAAGTCCCTCATTCATGTAAGAAAGGATATTGTTGAGAATGAGACTGTTGAGATGCACCGTTTGCTAGAAGATATGGGCAAGGAGATCGTCCGTGCACAGTCCAATGAGCCTGGAGAGCGAGAGTTCCTTGTGGATTCTAAGGATATATGCGATTTACTCGAAGATAACAAAGTAAGTTTTTGCATGCTCTTTTCATATATCTCATTCTAAAAGATCAATCATGTCACTGGTGAAATTAATTATATTGTTATTATATATCATCTCAGGGTACTAAAAAAGTTTTAGGTATAGCACTGGATATGGATGAGATTGATGTCTTGCGGATACATAAAGAAGCCTTTAAAGGGATGTGCAATCTCCGTTTTCTAAAAATGTACAGTAAGAAATGGGAGCAGCAGAACGAAGTGAGATATCACTGGCACTTATCGGGAGGCTTCAACTATTTGCCCCATAAACTTAGATTATTGAGGTTGGACGGATACCCAAAGAAATGTATGCCTTCTAAATTTAGTCCTGAAAACCTCGTTAAGCTCCAAATGCGGGGAAGTAAACTCAAGAGGCTATGGAATGGAGTTCATGTAAGTTGTTCTATACAGAACTATACTGGGCGTATTGTATGTGCCAATTGCCATTTAGCTAGTAAGCCCGTGGATATTGAGGTTCCACAGGCGGTACTTCCTGATACTGTATTTGAAGCAGTTGTTAAAATTCCTTATGATATGCAACTAAAACAAGTTCTAGCTAATGGGAAAAAAGGAGCTTTGAATGTGGGAGCTGTTCTTATTTTACCGGAGGGGTTTGAATTAGCCCCCCCCGATCGTATTTCACCCGAGATGAAAGAAAAGATAGGAAATCTGGCTTTTCAGAATTATCGCCCCAATAAAAAAAATATTCTTGTGATAGGTCCTGTTCCTGGTCAAAAATATAGTGAAATAACCTTTCCTATTCTTGCCCCGGACCCTGCTACTAATAAAGATGTTCACTTCTTAAAATATCCTATATACGTAGGTGGAAACAGGGGAAGGGGTCAGATTTATCCTGATGGTAGCAAAAGTAACAATACAGTTTATAATGCTACAGCAGGAGGGATAATAAGCAAAATTTTACGAAAAGAAAAAGGGGGATACGAAATAACTATAGTGGATGCATCGAATGGACGCCAAGTGATTGATATTATCCCTCGAGGCCTAGAACTTCTTGTTTCAGAGGGCGAATCCATTAAACTCGATCAACCATTAACGAGTAATCCTAATGTGGGTGGATTTGGTCAGGGGGATGCGGAAATAGTACTTCAAGATCCATTACGTGTCCAAGGCCTTTTGTTCTTCCTCTTCCCAGTGGCATCAACTTTCAACTGGTTGACCTTGACCTCAGCGGATGCTCAAGGTTGAGGACATTTCCTGATATCACAAACAACGTGTATATTCTCTATCTAGCCCGAACAGGGATTGAAGAGGTTCCTTGGTGGATTGAGAAATTCTCTCACCTCCATTGGCTAACAATGAATGGATGCAATAGATTACAGCGTGTATCCCTACACATTTCTAAACTGAAACATCTTGAGATAGTTGACTTTTCAGACTGTGGGTCATTGACTGAAGCTAGTTGGAATGATAGTTCAAGTGTTGTGGCAGTGGCAACAGACATTATTCACTCTAAACTGCCAATCCTTGACGAGGCTTCCTCTTCCTTTCCGGGCAATTTGATCAACTGCTTCAACTTTAAATTCAACTTGGATCAAAAACCTCTTCTTCGTCCACAAGTTAATTCCAAAAACATGAGGCTGCCAGGTGAAGAAGTGCCTTCATATTTTACTTACCGAACTACCGGAACTTCCTCCTCTCTGACCAATATCCCTATACCTCAGACATCTCTCGGTCAACCGTTGTTCAGGTTTAAGGCTTGCGTCATGGTTGATTCTGAATCTTCTACCCATACTTGTAGATTTGAGATCAACGTATCTTGCCGGTTCAAAGGTAGACTTGGTAACCACTTTGATTCCCCTTGTCGAACCACATCAGTTTTATAATCGTAATAAGGGTATAAATCTTGTTATATTCGAATGTTGTTTCCCTCTAAATGAAGACAATGCTTCTAAAGCTGAAATGATCTACGATCACGTGGATATTCAATTTCATGTAAGAAATCTTGTTGACGCCTCTACGGCCAAATTACAAGGATGGGGTATACGATTCTCTGGTGACTTTCCATCGCCGGAGAACCGACTTGGAAATCCAAACAATGGTCCAGATGTTCGAGACAATGAGAAGCAGCAAATGGATACAGGTAAGCGTTAAGCATGAACTGAACATCATTAATATTTTTGTAAGATCAATTAAAAATTAAAATCTTTCACACGACCAAAGACTTGGTTCAATTGGTGATCTTATAAGCAGCTCTTTAGTTTCTGTTTTGATCATCTTTGTGCTTGTAAGTGTAATGACATATGACTTATGACAACTTTCATCAGGTTTGAAGAGGTGATTTTGTTCATGCCAATGTATCTGAAGAATGCTAAGTTTGTAGATGTGGGAGATGGAGACTTCCAAGTTTACTTCACACTATTTGAAAAAGTCTCTTACTGCGTTAAATGAAGTTATTTTTTTTTTATTTAAATATTTATTCAGCTCATGAGGCTTACAAATATTAGTTCCAACATCATCTAGCTACTTGAAGATCTGGGCTCCATAATCATAAATAAAACTTGTGAAATTACCTCAGTTACTAGGTTTTGTTCTTTCAAAAGAAACGTTTACTTTTGCTTTGCCTAATGGCTTCTTCTTCTTCCTCCCCTCTTTATAACTGGGCCTACTATGTATTCCCGAGCTTCAGCGGTGAAGACGTCCGCAGAAATCCCTCAGCCATTTTCTCAAGGAGCTTGATCGAAAACTGATCATTGCTTTCAAAGACAACGAGATAAGCCAATCACTTGATCCTGAGCTTAAATTGGCGCGCGATTGGTTGTGTTTTCCGGAAAGTAAAGTTTTTAGAATTGGATCTATGAAGATTATAAAATGAGGAGGATAAGAAGATCAAAAGATAATGGACATGCATACACTAACAGAAACAATTCAATTCATAGATGATAAAAAAAAAAAAAAAAAAATTGGGCCATTTTCAAGACATTTGTTGTACAATCTCAAGTTTAAGACAAATGTCACTATCACTGTAAATAAAATCTATAGATCATAGTTGTAGTAATTACGAAAATTATTAATTAAGGAATCCGATTTCTTTTTTTTTTTGGTAAAAATTAAAACTGAGACAGAGTTATAAAGGGACATATAGATTGAATTATAGATAGACCTTGAAAGTTGAAACAAACAAACTATGAGCACTGAGCAGAGAACCTAGGAAAGCTCCTCTCGGTTATCTCAGGCTTTGTGAAGAAGGGTATCCGAAAGAAGATGAGATTGCTCATCAAACAAGATGCAGTCACATCTAACATCCGAACTCTCCTCTTCTAAGATTCATATTATATTTTATTAGATGTGGGTTATTTTATGATATTAATGGTAAAATTATATTTTTGAAAATGTGTTTTCTTACAGAGACTGATAATGGTTTTTTTTGTTAAAGGGTCTTCATAGAGACTGAAAATGGTGCGTTCATTGTCTTGAATATTTGTGTTTTGTAGCCCTTTCTGCAAAAATATTTGTGTTCTGTTGATATATTAATAAAGCAAAATTTCGTATACATTCAATTCTCTTCATATGTAATTTGATACTAACTTATGATTATTTTTTAGTTATATTTTTTTTTATTTGTACACAATAATAATTTCAAAGACTGTAAAGACACACATCTATTGTTTTTTATTTATTACTAGGTGGTTGTCCCGCACCCTGTGCGGGTACAATACTTTTTAAATAAAAATTAATTAAAAAATTAATAATATAAATAGTAGAATTTTTGATTATATACAATTTTTTTTGCCAATTTCTTATTTCTGTAATTTTGATATGTCTTATTTTTGTCTTCTATATAATTTTCTTCATTATTTTAGAAAGATACAAAAGATTTCTTACTTCTTATTCTGTTCTCTTTTATTCTTCTCTAATTATCTCACATTCTTATTTTTCTTACAATTTTATATTTGTTCTCATCAGCTTTTTATTTTTCTTCTTCCAATTTTTGTTCTTAATTCTTTTCTTATATCTTCCAACTCACTTATCTTCTTTTTCTTTCTAATTTTATTTATATTTTTTTTTCGGTGTTTCTTCTTCCTCATATTATTCTAGTTTTTAGTTATTTGTTTTTTTTTCCTTTTTTTTCTTCACATATTATTTTTTATTCTTCGATTTCTTTTTCCTCATATTCGAGTTTTCTTCTTCTTCTCCATTCGTTTAAAGAGATACAAAAGATTTTCCACTTCTTATGTGTTCTCTTTTATTCTTCTCTAATGATCTCACTCTCTTTTTTTTCTTTCAATTTTATATTCGTTCTCATCATATTTTTCTTTTTCTTCTTCCAATTTTTATCTTCAATCTTTTCTTATATCTTTCAGCTCACTATTCTTATTTTTCTTTCTAATTTTCTTTACATTTTTTTTTTCCAGTTTTTCTTCTTTCTCATTCCCCCTCTCTCTATCTTTATCATCTCCTTCTTCTCCTTCTTCTCTAACATCATATTATTCTTGTTTTTATTTATGTCTTGTTTGTCTTTTTTTTCTTCACATTTCATTTTTCTTCTTTCATTTTTTTTTCCTCATATTTGAGGTTTTTTTTTCTTTTCCAAATTTCCCATCTTTTTTATTGTCTTTTTTTCTTTTACTTGTTATTTTATTCGTTCTTGTCTACATTTTCTATTTCACTTATCAATTCATTCTGTAACATCCATAAACCAAAAATAAAAATTGGGAATTTTGTCGGTTCAATTTAAGTGAATTGGTTTGGGTCGGTTTAGTGGAGAAAGCCCTAAAATCAAGTTTAAAGAGTGCAGCCGTCTTCTCTTTGGAGAATTTTCGAGTTCAGATGCTGTAGAGGAGAAAAGTTGAGTTTTTGGAGAGATTTTCGAATTTTACTGTTCATCGGGTACTGTTCATCGGGTACTGTTCATCGGGTACTGTTCATCGGGGTACTGTTCATCGCGATTCGCACTGTTCATTGTCTTTCCTTCAGTTTCAATCATTGTCAAGGTGAGTGCATGACTGTGGGTCCGCGATTTGCTAGATTAGATTTGGTTTGTGGTTGTTCTTGATGAGTTTATGTGTTTAATTGTTATTTCATGATATTTTGGTTGTTTATGTGATGAATTGTGTGTTTGTGTGGTTAATCTGGTTTAATTGAATTTAATTGATTTGATTGGTTTATCTTGGTTCAATTGAATTTAATTGGTTTATATTGGTTAATTGAATTTAATTGATTCTGTTTATTTGGTTCAATTGAATTTAATTGGTTTAATTGGTTTAATTGAATTTAATTGGTTTAATGATTAAATAATTTAATTGGATTTAATTAATTAATAATATTTTTTAATTATTTTAAAATATGGAAAATTATTATTTAATTATGAGAATTATTTAATAATTGAGAAATTGAGTTTTAATTATTAAAAATTATTTAATAATTGGAAAATGGTATTTAATAATTATTGGAGTTTATAAATATTATTAAATATCTAGTAAATTGCGTAAATGGCTCGTAGGCAGAGTGATTGCCTCACTAAGTATTTATTAAATACTTACGCAACTCCATTCCAATGTGTTGCAGGTAAAAGATTTGTGTGATCGCGGAATCAAGGCTGAAGAGGGGGATGATAGGATGTTTACTGTTTTATTGTTTTGCATTATTTTGCTAGACTTGTTTAATTATTATTTGCTTCCGCTGAGCTGATTTATTTGTTATTGATATTTATTTATTTAATTTATTTTAAAGACCTTCGCTAGAATTGATTAATTTATTTATTAAAAAAAAAAAAGTGTTGGTTGTTTCATTTTGGTATCAGAGCCTAGACGGTTTTAGGACTGTTAGAATTGCTAGGCTTAGTATCATCCCCTTCAGCTACAAGAGATTCCGCGGTGAGTTTATGTTTGTTTTGAGTTTTGGTTGCGTGTTCTAGTGTGCTCTTTTCGGTTCCATGAGTGAGATGGACTGAGTAGCTAGAGGTTGTGGCGCGAGAGGGCGCGGTGCTCGAGGCCGTGGTGGCAGAGCTAGAGGCCGTGGAGGCGGGGCCGAGATTGTGGACTTCGGCGGATTCGGGAGAGAGTGTGGTGCCGAGTGTGGCGACTGCGTCGGTGACCCAGTCGGTATCCGTGGCGAGTGAGGCCAGTGTGGATGCGAGTGTTGGTTTGGGAGCGGGGTGCTCCGGGTTGGGGTGGTGCTCCGGCTCAGGGTCTTGATGACTTAGTGGTGGGTTTGCTGACGCAGTTATTGGCTCGTTTTCCGCCAGTGGTTCCACAGGGGCTCCGGGAGTACCTCCAGTGGCAGAGGTGCAGCAGAGGGCTGCGGGATTTGTTCAGCCGCAGGCTGTGGGTTTGATGGTGCCGTTATTTGGATATGATGGGGCACATGCAGAGGATTGGTACGCCGTACTTTGAGGGCGGAGTTAGCCCAGAGGCGGCAGATGGTGGCGTCAGAGATTGGAGCGGAATTTCCAGTCTATCAGATTTCTGGTTTAGTACCAGGTTGAGTTGGCAGTCCACTATCTGAGTGGAGATGCACATTTGTGGTGGCGGGCCATCGAGGGCATAATGGTTGTTGTTGTTGTGTGTTGTTCATTTATCTGTGATAAATTGTTGAGGTTCTCAACGCATGTGTTTCGTAATGACCTTGTTAGTGGGCGGTTTTGAGTCCCACGTTTTATTCGACTCTGGAGCATCGAATTGCTTCATTACACCGGAGCGTGCCGAGAAGAGTGGCATCCGGAGTAGCGCGGGCGAGAGCGCGGGCATGGTCAAGGTGGCGGGAGGTGGATTCTTGTCTACTTTGGGCCGTGCTAGAGGAGTCGAGATCGAGATTGCGGGGCAGTCAATGCCAGCAGACTTAGTCATCAGTCCGGTGGAGCTGTATGACGTTATTCTCGGGATGGACTGGTTGTCACACTACAGAGTTCATCTGGATTGCTACAGAGGTAGAGTGGTCTTCGAGCGAGATGCAGGGAGGTTGGTTTATCAGGGAGTGAGACCGACTTCCGGGAGTATTGTGATATCTGCTATTCAGGCCGAGCAGTTGTTAGAGCGGGGCTGTGAGGCGTATCTGGCGACGATTTCTATGTCTGAGTCAGGAGCTGGAGTTGTTATGGGAGATATTGAGGTTGTCCAGGATTTTGAGGATGTCTTTCAGTCACTGAAGGGATTACCACCATCTCGGTCTGATCCTTTCACGATTGAGTTAGAGCCGGGGACAGCACCGATATCGAAGACGCCTTACAGGATGGCGCCAGCTGAGTTGGCAGAGCTGAAGAAGCAGATAGAGGACCTTTTGTCTAAGGGGTTCATTCGACCGAGTGTTTCACCGTGGGGAGCACCGGTGTTGTTTGTGAAGAAGAAGGATGGCAGTTTCAGACTTTGTATCGATTACAGAGGTCTTAACCGAGTCACTGTGAAGAACAGGTACCCACTCCCGAGGATTGATGAGTTGTTGGATCAGTTGAGGGGTGCTACTTGGTTCTCCAAGATTGACTTGGCATCGGGGTATCATCAGATCCCGATAGATGAGGCAGATGTCAGGAAGACTGCTTTCAGGACGCGTTATGGGCATTTTGAGTTTGTGGTTATGCCTTTCGGTTTGACTAACGCGCCGGCAGCCTTCATGAGATTGATGAACGACGTGTTCAGGGAGTATTTGGACGTGTTCGTCATCATTTTCATTGATGATATTCTGGTATACTCGAGGAGTCAGGAGGAGCATGCGACTCACTTGAGGTTGGTTCTGGAGAAGCTTCGGGAGCAGAAGCTTTTTGCTAAGTTGAGCAAGTGCAGTTTCTGGCAGCGAGAGATGGGATTTCTTGGCCACATTGTTTCTGCAGAGGGAGTTTCTGTGGATCCGGCTAAGATTGAGGCTATCAGAGATTGGCCTAGACCTAGTAGTGCCACCGAGATCAGGAGTTTTCTGGGTTTGGCAGGATACTACAGGAGGTTCGTCAAGGGGTTTGCTACCATGGCGCAGCCGATGACGAAGTTGACCGGGAAGGATGTCCCTTTTTTGGTCAGCTGAGTGTGAGGAGAGCTTTAGTCAGCTCAAGGAGATGTTGACTACTACACCAGTGTTGGCGTTACCCGAGCCAGGGAAGCCTTACATGGTGTATACAGATGCTTCAGGCATTGGTCTTGGTTGTGTGCTGATGCAGGAGGGCAGAGTGATAGCATATGCTTCGAGACAGTGGCAGGGCAGTGAGCGTAACCGTCCTACACATGACTTAGAGTTGGGAGCAGTGATCTTCGCGTTGAAGATTTGGAGGTCTTACTTGCTAGGTGAGACAGTACAGGTCTTCACGGATCACAAGAGTTTGCAGCATATCTTCACTCAGCCGATGATGAACGCGAGACAGACGCGCTGGGTTGAGTTCTTGGCGGATATCAGGTGAGCATTAACTACCATCCGGGCAAGGCTAACCTAGTGGCGGACGCGTTGAGTAGACGGAGGTATGATTCCGCAGTTGAGCGAGATGTGGAGTCTCTAGTTGGCGAGATCAGTACCTTGCGTTTGTGTGCCATTTCGCAGGAGCCTTTGGGTTTAGAGGCAGTGGATCAGGCGGATCTACTTAGCAGGATCAGAGTTGCTCAGCAGAGTGATCAGAGTTTGCTGGATGCGACGAGAGTGACTGGTTCTGAGTATGAGGTCTCTGCGAATGGGACTATCTTGGTTCGTGGGCGAGTTTGTGTGCCTAAGGATGTGGAGTTGAGACATCAGATTTTGGGAGAGGCTCACGCGAGCAAGTTTTCCATTCATCCAGGGCGACCAAGATGTACCATGACCTCAAGAGGTACTATCATTGGGTCGGGATGAAGAGGGATGTAGCAGACTGGGTTGCGAAGTGCAACACTTGTGCCTTGGTGAAGGCAGAGCATCAGGTTCCGGGTGGTCTTTTGCAGAGTTTACCCATTCCAGAGTGGAAGTGGGACAGGATTACGATGGATTTCGTGGTTGGACTACCTGTTTCGAGGACTTTCGATGCTATCTGGGTGATTGTGGATCGGTTGACTAAGTCCGCACATTTCTTGGCCATCAAGAAGACAGATGGAGCTGCTGTCTTGGCTAGGAAGTTTGTGCGAGAGATTGTGAGGCTGCATGGAGTGCCAGCTAGTATTGTGTCAGACCGTGATCCCAGATTCACTTCAGAGTTTTGGAGGGCGTTTCAGGCAGAGATGGGCACTAAGGTGCATCTGAGTACAGCTTATCATCCGCAGACAGATGGTCAGTCAGAGAGGACTATTCAGACTTTGGAGGATTTGCTGAGGATGTGTGTGTTGGATTGGGGTGGCCATTGGGCAGATCACCTGAGCTTAGTTGAGTTTGCATACAACAACAGCTTTCAGGCGAGTATTGGCATGGCTCCATTTGAGGCTTTGTATGGGAGGCCATGTAGGACACCCCTATGCTGGACCCAAGTGGGGGAGCGCAGCATGTATGGAGCTACTTATGTTCAGGAGACGACAGAGAAGGTTCGTGTTGTGAGGCTGAACATGAAGGAGGCTCAGGATAGGCAGAAGAGTTATGCAGATAGACGCAGACGAGAGCTTGAGTTTCAGGTTGGAGATAGAGTTTATCTCAAGATGGCTATGTTGAGGGGTCCTAACAGATCCATAGCAGAGAACAAGCTGAGTCCGCGTTTATGGGTCCGTTTCCAGTAGTGGAGCGAGTTGGGCCATTGGCTTACAGGCTGGAGTTGCCTGAGATTATGAAAGCCTTTCACAAGGTTTTTCATGTGTCGATGCTGAGGAAGTGTCTTCACCCTACAGAGGAGTTAGTGGCTAGGATTCCAGAGGATCTTCAGCCAGATTTGACAGTGCCGGCAGTGCCTATGAGGATTTTAGAGAGGAGGGAAAAGGTTCTGAGGAACAAGAGGATTCCCTTACTGAGGATTTTGTGGGATTGCAGTGGTTCTACAGAGGAGACTTGGGAGCCAGAGGCAAAGATGAAGTTGAAGTTCAGGAAGTGGTTCGACAAGCAGGTCGAGGAGTGAGCTTATTTCATCTTTGTAGCCTCAGTTGTTATTTTTGGCTTTGGTGTTATTGTATTTTCGTTTTCGTTGTAACGATATACATTTTGGAGTTTTAATGAGATGCAGTTTTTCCTCATTTTGCCTTGTGTTGTGAAAAGGTATTCGGATGTTACACATGTTTGACCAGTTTTTGGTTGTGAGACGGTCTAATCTTATGGTTATAGACATTTTCCGGAATTTTTACTCTAAGGATTGCGATCCTGAATAACTCATCATGTTTTTGGAGACTTCGTTCTCTGGCAGACTCTCTGGGTGCAAGTAGGCCTCAGTTGAGTGTAGCTTATGGGTGCAAGTAGGCCTCAGTATAAGCAGTTTAGTTCATCTGGGTGCAAGTGGGCCTCAGTATGGACGTTTTCGGGTTCGTCTGGGTGCAAGTGGGCCTCAGTGCGGACCGGTGTGGACTTGTCTGGGTGCAAGTGGGCCTCAGTACAAGTGGTTTGAGGTGATGAGTTAGGAGTGAAAATTCTTGGAACGTGTTTATGACATAAGATATGACGTTTGTCTCGGGGATCAAGTGAGGATCTCCGGTGTTGCGGCCTTGCGAGGTTGGGTTTTGTGGTCTTTGTGACGTTTGCGTTGGGATTCGAGGACGAATCCAGTTTAGTGGGGAGAGTTGTAACATCCATAAACCAAAAATTGGGAATTTTGTCGGTTCAATTTAAGTGAATTGGTTTGGGTCGGTTTAGTGGAGAAAGCCCTAAAATCAAGTTTAAAGAGTGCAGCCGTCTTCTCTTTGGAGAATTTTCGAGTTCAGGCTGTAGAGGAGAAAAGTGGAGTTTTTGGAGAGATTTTCGAGTTTTACTGTTCATCGGGTTACTGTTCATCGGGTACTGTTCATCGGGTACTGTTCATCCGGGATTTCGCACTGTTCATTGTCTTTTTTTCCTTCAGTTTCAATCATTGTCAAGGTGAGTGCATGACTGTGGGTCCGTGATTTGCTAGATTAGATTTGGTTTGTGGTTGTTCTTGATGAGTTTATGTTTTAATTGTTATTTCATGATATTTTGGTTGTTTATGTGATGAATTGTGTGTTTGTGTGGTTAATCTGGTTTAATTGAATTTAATGATTTGATTCTGGTGGTTAATTGAATTTAATTGGTTTATATTGGTTTAATTTAATTGATTTGATTCTGGTTTATCTTGGTTCAATTGAATTTAATTGGTTTAATTGGTTTAATTGAATTTAATTGGTTTAATGGAATTAAATAGATTTAATTCGGATTTAATTAATTAAATAATATTTATTTAATTAATTGGTTTAAAATAATTATTTTAATTATTTTAAAATATGGAAAATTATTATTTAATTATGAGAATTATTTAATAATTGAGAAATTGAGTTTTAATTATTAAAAATTATTTAATAATTGGAAAATGGTATTTAATAATTATTGGAGTTTATAAATATTATTAAATATCTAGTAAATTGCGTAAATGGCTCGTAGGCAGAGTGATTGCCTCACTAAGTATTTATTAAATACTTACGCAACTCCATTCCAATGTGTTGCAGGTAAAAGATTTGTGTGATCGCGGAATCAAGGCTGAAGAGGGGGATGATAGGATGTTTACTGTTTTATTGTTTTGCATTATTTTGCTAGACTTGTTTAATTATTATTTGCTTCCGCTGAGCTGATTTATTTGTTATTGATATTTTATTTATTTAATTTATTTTTAAGACCTTCGCTAGAATTGATTATATTTATTTAAAAAAAAAAATGTTGGTTGTTTCTCATTCGATAGTTTATATTTTCAAGGATTTGTGAAATAGATTTTATCTTTATATAGTCGAGATCTTTTAAAAATATATTGGTTTTGTTATCTTTCCATTCTGGATTTGCTTTAATTGTTAATTTTTCTATTTGTGAATGTAATTTAGAAATGTGGATATAAATTTATAATCATTGATTTTTCATTATGATATTCTTCCATTCAAATGATTAAAATGCCCAGGAGTTCTCGCTCACACACATCCCCAAGACGAAGAACACAAAGGCAGACAAGCTAGCACGGAGTGCTCGAGCTCAGCCTCACGATGTGTACTATATAAACTCAATTCCACCGGCCCCGCTTCCCGGACCGGCTTAGGAATTTAGGTTGTTGACAAAAAAAAAAAAAAAAAAAAAAAAAAATTAAAATGCACCAAAAACTAAACCCTACATCCATCAATATAAACCTTACATCATAAACCCAAGCCCCACAGCGTAACACCATCCCCTTAGACAACCCTACACCCAAAATACACCCCTCCCACCTCCCTTCCCCAAATCGCACACCCGAACCCACATTTTACAAATTGGTTTTAAATTTTCTTTTATTTTTATTTTTGCAGGCAGGAGATGTTTTAAAACTTCAATCTTTTCTACTCCCTCTATCTCAATATATAAGCAGTTTAGAAAATAATTTGTTTCAAAATAGAAACAGTTTACATATTTCAATGCAACTTTTACTTTATCAAATATTGTTCGACCAATTATATTATGCTGTTTTTTTGTTATGATTGGTCAAATTATATTTTATTTCTATTTTATATGATATTTTATTTTTTAAGTAATTTTCCGTATTTATGTTTTATATCCAAAACTGTTTATAAATTGGGATAAAGGGAGTATTAATATTAGATTAACGCATTTTTTTAATTACTTTTCATATTTGTGTAATGTACTTATTTTCCAAAAAAACAATAGCTTAACATTTTGTTAATTTGATATGAACTTATAAATTGTGAAAACAGATAAATATCATAATAATGATTGTTTTCTTCTCCATCTTATTTTACTCTATTGATCTTTTTTTTTCTTTTTCTTCCATCTTTTTATTAGTTGTCATCATTTTTTTTCTTCTTCCTCTTGAAGTTTTTGTTCTTCAAATTTTTTCTGTTTCTTCAGATTCTCCGACTCATTATTCTTCTTTTTTTCTTTCTAATTTTCTTACATTTCTTTTCCAGTTTTTCTTCTTCCTCATTCCTCCTCTCTCTTTATCTTTATCATCTTCGTCTTCTCTAACATCATTTTATTTTAGTTTTTATTTATCTCTTCTTTGTCTTTTTCTCATCACATTCCATTTTTTCATCATTGTTTTCTTTTTCTTCATGTTCGAGTTTTCTTCTTCTCGAATTTTCCCATATTCTTTTCTTTTATTCGTATTTTTGTTCCTTCTTGTTTACGTTTTGTATTTCACCTATTTTTATCTTTATATAGTCTAAATCTTTTAAAAATCTATTTATGTTGTTATCTTTTGTTTCTGGATTTCAATTGTTTTATTTTATTTTCTATTTGTGAATGTATTTTAGAATGGTAGATTTAAATTTATAATCAATGATTTTTAATTTTGATGTACTTTCATAATAATTCAAAATTTTAAAAATGGACAAAAAACCAAACCCTACACCCATCAATATGGACAAAGAGCTATAGAGCCCTTTGTTCTTCTTCTTTTTTCACTTGTGCAGTAAGCCTTTTCTGCCTAGATCAAAGGTAGGGTTTACTTAAGCCACTTTACGTCTAGCAAAAAATGGACTTATGAACTACGGTATGGCTATCATCGGCGGAAGAAAACTATGTCCATGTCATGGAGAGAGATTTAGGGTTAAATATATATAGTGTATATATAGATTTGTAGAGGTTTAACTTTTTTTTTAAATAGTGGTGATTATCCTAAATGATATATGCGATTGTATAAAAGGATAATAGTAATATTTACTTTTTATCAAAAAAAATAAAGATATTCATGAGATTTTTATTAAGGGTATGTGGGTAATCAACCAGTTGAGAGTTAACGTGGTGGCTGGAAACGAAATTTTCACTTCGCAAATAATATATTAGATTAAATTGTGCTCATTCCTAGCATCAAGCCGGCCTCTCTAAACTCTAGTTATCCTCACTATTGTTTTCTTATTATGGGAATTTCTACGATAGTACTCCTTCATTCGAAACGCAGGTCGGTCTTGAATCTCTCTTTTCCATATAAATGCGTACGACCGCACTACACCAATTTGGTTTCCGGCGTTGTTGAACAGTGGTTTCTCACCCGACAATCTTTTCCACTTTCCGTCTTTCGCATTTCTCTTGTTATTGTTTACCGTTGTTAGAAAGCATAAATCTCCATGCAAATTCTCTAACTCTTTTCTCCTCTACATATCTCAAAATATGCTATGATTACTCTCACCGTGAGGAACTATAATCTTTTGATATATATATCCCACTTCGAATCCTTCTTTTTTGGTCAAGGTTTCGTCATTAGAGCTACAAAATAACGTGTTTCTTCTCTTCATGTTCCCAATATCAATGGTTTCACCAATGAGACACCAAATCCGAATTATCTAGGGTGGACCAGATCAGAGCAACTAACTAGTCAAGTCATGGTCCTTTTCTAAAGACATGTTTAAATGGTAAAGCATACCAAAAGTAAAATAAACACTAAAACACATAACATACGATTAAATGGGGAAAAAAAAAAGCAAAAATGAGGGAAAATTGGCGAAAATGGTGAACAGTTTATAAATTGAATCTTAAACAAGAGGGTCAATTTTACATGTTTTAACCAAGTATAGAAAGGCTTGAACATCAGGAATTCAGACATTTATATCAAAAATCTTGAAATTACGGTGAAGCAAAGAGAAATTAAAAGTAAGAAACATAATTAACGTTAGTTCACGTAACGAGAAAGACCGAACGTTTACTACAATGATCTAAGCGAGTAATCGGAGAATCCTTGAAGAGAGGACGAGGAAAATAATTAGCAGAGACTCGTTGGTGCGTTCTTAATTAACACACAGTTGGCCGCTTCGTTCGCTTCAGAGTCAAAAGAAGGGTGGTGGATTTTGTTATGATTCTCACCACTTTCTAACCAGAAAAAATCACTATAAAATTTGAAAAGTTAATTAACATAGATTAAAATGAAATAGTTTCTAAATACATATATCCAGGACATGCCTGGAGATAAAGCGGATAAAGCCCATGCTTTAGACGCCAAATATTATATAGGATTTTAGGGGCACTAAATATGTAGAAAATCTAGATAAGTGTAGTATCGGTCTAACGTTTTAGAATATCTTACACAAATTTAGAAAGTGTTTATTTCGTGTAATAATAATACTAAAAAAACATGATTATGTTTTTTGTTTTATGATTAATCGCAAATTAATCATAAAAAAAGATTTTACGATTTTGCGATTAATCACTAAACAAAAAACATAATCGTTAATTATGTTAAGAATTTTTAATCACTCCAACTTGACGTCCTCCCTCACAAATACAAACATATGAAATAGCATGTGCATCAATTGGCTTCACCAACGTCGGTAAACTTTACCGAGAGGAAGTGTGTACTTTCTATAGAGAATCAATAAGAAGAGATGATTCATATAACAAGAAAACCAAAGAAGATTTGCGATTGATCATAAAAGAGAATACGTAATAATATTTACGCTATGATTCTTTAATCAATCTAACTTGAAGTCCTCCCTCACAAATGCAAAACTTGAAAAGTATGAATTAATCGTCAAAATTGAACTACACCGGTTGTGGAAAGAGTGGTGGAGGATAGATACTATTTTTTTTTCCCCTCTGCAAACAATAATGTTGAAACGGTTAGCCAATTGTTTAATCAATTAGGCTTATGAATTGAT